AAATCATGACAGCGCCTGAATGTCACCGCATGCACGAAAGCGTCAAATTGATAACTCCAATACCAGTCTCCGTAGCACGGGACTCATGAACCAGAGTGTTTGTATAACCGCGGCCACCACAGGACAGATGTACTCCCGACCCACATCAGTGGGCATCATCTAGCCGAGGCACTTCACGGAAGATCCACGTCGCCAGTCCAGGTGATGCAGCGCCAACATGATACTCTGGTCTACGCTCGCGAGGCTCAAGGCGTCAAAAACAAATATACACAGCAGCAACGCACGGAAACCTATCCTTCCAGTGCTTCGCCCAAGCCATACCACACCCCAGACCTCTCGCTCAAATCTGCAAGCCTGGTATATGCACCGGGCTTGATATTCTGAGCATTGGAGACCGGACCTGGGATATCCTGCCTCTTGGTATTCTACTGGAAATACGACCCTCCGTCCCTTAGTGCGACAATTCCTGTATAAGCCAACGCAACAAGCCTACCGAGTTGGCGACTTCTGGTCCCAAATCCCAGGCTACCAAGAGCGCGCAATCTGCGCCCACTGTCGTGACTGCCCAGACAATCTAGACCATATTCTACTGGAGTGTACCTACCCGTCCCAGCACGTCATATGGCTCCTGGCCGAGGAGCTCTGGCCGCGATCACACGCACCATGGCCACAGCTCACCTTCGGTGCGCTGCTCGGCTGTGGCAAACTAGCTATCCCCCTTAACGAAAACCATATCAACGATATTAATACCCAGGGAAACCAGGAACCTACTCGCCCTCGTAAAACTAGCCCATCCCGCCTCCTCCAGATCCTGATTTCGGAATCCCTATACCTTATATAGGTAATACGCTGTGAACGAGCGATACAAAACCGACACCACTCACCTACTGCAATATCCTCCCGGTGGCGTAACGCCATAAATAGACGGCTCCAAATAGACCGACTTACCGCCTGCAAACCTCAAACGGAATGACAAGTCCATACTGAAAGTCAAGGAAACTTGGAAAGACACGCTCGACAATGAACCATTCCTACTCGAAGACTGGGCTTCCCGCCCCGAAGTTTTAGTGGGTATTAGACCACCCAGGGCTCTGACTCAAAGGAGTATCCAGGTGCTTTCTCGAGCCCCACACTCTCCAGCCCCCGCTGGAGGCCGTGCGTAAACGCATTTTTCCTCGGACCAGATCGCTCTGCGATCTGCTATAGCGTATTATTTAGGGCTGTACCGATATCAGTGCTAAGTAATAAATATCGCTTGTCGAAAAAAAAGAAATACGACCCGCCTTGTACTGCGAAACCCGGGAGGGGGGGAGGGGAGTCCGGCTCTAATGCAGTAGAGAAGCCGTGCACCAACGAGAGAACAGAGGCTCATACAGTCAGGTAGAGGCATCGGTGGTGCTTGCTCGCCACCAGTACCTCGATCCGCACAGTCGGTTCTCTCCTGCACGGTCAAGGCCCGATATGCATTGTATACTTTCCAGGTGGCTGGGCATACGCTCTTCATTTTTCCCTCGCACCTAACCGGTGCCCTGTCGGGAGTCTCAAACGAAGCGCGTGGACGTCTTCGTGTGCGCGGGCGAGCTGGTGCCTACACGCAGGAGGGCTGCAGGATCATCGACGTCGAAAGAGCTATGAAGAAGAGAACAGAAGGCAGCGTGCGCTGGATAGTGACTGTGCCAACGCCGACGAGAATACGGCTGTGATAGTCTTACGACCGGTGGCGCGGTGGGCTCGTAACGCAACAGATGCGATAGGGGCCACAAATGAGGAAGGACTTACCAGCGGATGAAACCTCCCGGGAGGGTATTCCGTTGGCAAGGTAGGCAGACTACCCTGGAACGTGTTGGTTAACGAGCTGCCCGACCTGGTCGAAGTCTCACAATCAGGAGATTGACACGACTGCGACCGATGTCCGTGCTGTTGTGACGCAGTGGTTGCATCGTCAGAGACCTCCATTCGTCCAGCCGTGCGCGGCGGGCCGCCTTCCTCAGATGCGAGCAAGTCGGAGGCGAGCACGCACCTCGACGAGACGGACGGTGGGTGCTGTTGCTAGACTAATGGACAGATACACCACCCGCAAACATCATCCCTAATCATAGGACCGTGAATCCCATAAATAACGACGATCTGCAGACTGCGAACGAGTGCGTACCTGGATGACGTGCAGGGACGTACCCAGCCCATCGTGCATGTCTGAGTCCGAGTCTGCCTGCTACCGATACGAGGATGTGGAGTCCTTGATAGAGGCTGCAAGTCTAACGGACAGAACCAGGCTTGATGCTGGAGAGACGGGAGCAAATTCTAATCCGAGCGTATCTGGGCGTCACACACACTGTAACAGACTGTAGCCCTGAGGTGATCGGGTGCAGGTGAAGCTTCAAAGAGGCGATTAGATGGCAGATGTGATGGAGTTGCTGTGAGTATCTGATGATGTCAACCATCCGCGATCTCCCCAAACAGCGTCACGAGAGATAAGATAAACACGACTACCGTCAAATGTTGCGTCATGGTGATCACCCAAGCAGTAATCCCAGCATTATCCCGACGAGCAGGCTAGAATCGAGGAGAAATGTCTGCTACGGTCATTATCGTGTCAGCCAGGCTTGGACACGCGCAAACGTATCGAATGAACCAGCACTTGCGCCTATTATCTCCCCTGACCATGCATGAACCCCACATGATGACGTCCATGATTCATTGACCTCCCTGAGGTCTGCTCTATCCCTAAACCGAATGTGCCGCAGAATGACGGACCCATACCCGTCAATGAGGCCCGCCACGACGCATACCGAGACGTAAATAGCGACTCATACCACGCAACGCCCCTTGCACGACTTGCCGTTCTCGGTTCCCGCCCGCCTTCGCTACCCCACACGCCCCCTCATCCCTGCAACTGATCGCAGCTTACCAGCTTCCGTTCTGATTTCGCGACTTGGAGGCCGGGACCCACCCGCCGCTGACATTTACAGAGTAGCGAATCCCGCTATCCTTGTTCAGGAGTCACGTCGAGTTCTGGATGGATCGTCAACGATCAACGACTCCGAGCATGTCTAGCCGCAAGCCATCAATACGCGCTAGGTCAAGATTAGATACGTGTCGTATCGTCGTATCCCAGCAATCGGCGAAACGATAGAGAACTTTCAGAATTCTTCGCGCAGGCAGGCGAGCCCGGAAAGGTAATTATACCCCACTTGGGGCCACAGTGCACCACGACTCACCACTCTTGTTGATCAGGACACAGCATTAGCGGAGCAAAATTGGTGATACCCTACTCCAATAAGTAAGCCGCGGAGCGGCTGCTGAGTGCAGAAAATCCCAAGCTTCTCTATCGTTTTGCTGATTGCTGCCATACTACAAATAAATCACAGATCCAGGCCGTCCACGTCGTCTCTCCACCCCTCCTCGCGATCCAGAACGCTGCAGACGGTTGGAGATCCATTCCATGACATCGGACACCCATCAGTCATCCACACCGTACCATACCATTCCGAATCATACATGCATACCGCCCAATAGAATCTGAAATGCCGAACCAGACTCCTCCCAGTCCTTCCTATCACTCCAGACTCCGACCAATCAGGGCAAACTGGGACCCACTCCGCCACCGCCGGAACGCTCTCGAAAACGGAAAACCTGATATCCAAATTCCCCTTGTCCCATGCACGCAACGCAACGCAACGCATGCATGTGTATTCAGATTCACAAACACAGGGCAAGGGAGGGGGCGAGCAAATCGGAATTAGATGCCCCGCACGGCCGGGGTAGTCATCGCCCCTTACGAGTTCGAATTCAGCGAGACAAGAGACAATACATAAGTACCTTTGTAATTGTATTGGCCTGATCATGACCGGCCCTGCGAGTGAGCGAGTGTTTTTGACCGCGTGAACTATCGGCCGCAGCAAAGGAGGGTGAACGCCTCGGAGATTACTCCCAGGAATCATTAATCAGGATGAGTAAGATTCAGATGCCTGCGTTATATTATACGCGTACGCCGCAGAGGGGAAGTCTAAGGGAGGGGATGCTGGTGAAGGATCACCCGTACATATGTCCCGGCACACGCAGCTGCATTCATGATCATATCCCGTACGTATGTATGTAGAACTTGCATTTCTCCGCAATGAATAACCGTTGTAACGCCGGCGGGTCGACGAGGCATATAGTGACGCACATGTACACGCCTGCGAAAGTCCAGTCGAGAACTGAGCACACGCACAACGACAGCAACAGCAATCAATTGCGGTTCATATCTTTCATTGCATTGATCCATTTTCGGTCCTATACTTCATTCATACCCAATCGTCTACATAGCCATCCCCCTCCCAACCGTTCAATCATCCTATCAAAACCAGGGTACACCTCACTCGCACTGGATTGCGAGCGAGCGAGCGTGGTGTCCGTGAGAGTCGTGCATACCTAAATGCGTGAGACGAAGGCGGGAGTGAGGGATGCAAAACCCAAAACAAAGCGAACGCGAACGTGAGGCGGGTTAGGGAAAACATATATGCACAGCGCCGAGGGGACGTTCCCCGGCCCCCTCGGCGGAGAAAAAAGCGAAATGCATAACAAACAGGAAGGCGGAAAGGGGTCGTGAGGTGTCGTCAAGAGCGCAGCGTGTGCGCGGGTCGGAGCGGGCAGGGCAGGCGGGTGTCGCGTGCGTGTGTCGCTCGGTGCGGCTGGATGGTTGGACATACCAGGCCGGGGGGCATGCGTGTGTAGAACCATGATGTTCACAGAGTGCTAGTGGTCCCGAGCCGTCATTGGGGGGGATGTCGCATGGCAGGTGCGGGGTGAGCTTAGAGGCTACTTGTTAAGGAGTTTTCGCCGGAGGCGTCTGCGTGCGCGGAAGAGCGAGAAGCGCAGGGCGAGGGAGACGGCTTGCCATTGGCGGCGGATGGACTGCGTGCAAGTAGGACTGGAATAGGATATTCAATATTGGAAGAATAAAACCGGGAAAAAGATGCACTCACGTCCACTCCTGCTGCTGGCTGGACGAGACTTCGTCTTCGACAGTGGTTCCGTCGAGCTGGAAGGGCGACGGCGCATGTGGCACGACGCGCTTCTCGATGTCCTTCTCATCCTTGCTCTTCCGCTTCTCCTTCCGCGCGGCCATGCGGCCCTTCAGCAGCCTCCTGCCCTTTCTCTCGCCCTCCTCATCATAGCCGAACCCCGTCGCATGCCCAGACCCATACGCGTCCACAAACGGATCCTCCTCCTCGTCTGCGCGGCGGATGCGCACGTTGTAGTCGTCGTAGTGGTAGTTCTGCCGGAGGTACGGCGAGACGGTGGCATCGTCCTCCTCGGGCGACGACGAGAGGGTGGTGGCGGCGAACGGCGGCTCGTAGTACGGCAGGAAGCGGCGCGGGCTGGTCGTGCGCGTGCGCGAGCCGCTGGTGCTGCGGTCCCTCTGCGAGAGGTGGTGGTGGTGGTGGGCGTGCGGGTAGTGCGGGTGGTGCAGGCGCTCGGTCTCGCTGCCGCACGCGCTCGCGGCGTCGTCCTCGTCGTCGCTCGTGCCGTCCCACTGGGTGCGGTAGGTGTCGACGTTGATGCCGGCGCCCGGGGCGCTGCGGCGCTTGTGCGCGGGGGCGAAGGGGCGGAAGTCGGGGTCGTGGAGGTCGCCGTGGCGGTCGACGTAGGCGGAGGAGGGGGAGGAGGACGAGGCGGAGGAGGAGGACGCGGAGGCGTAGGCGGGGTCGAGGATGCGGGAGATGTCGTAGCCTGCTGAAGACTGCTTGGAGGAGGGGCGGCGGTGGCTCGGGAGCGCGTGCTTGTGCTTGAAGCAGGGCGGGGACGGCGGGGGCGTGAGCTGGGAGAGGTCGTATTCGTATGTCATCGTGGGGGGTGGCTGAAAAGTCAGGGAGCAGTAGAGCGATAGAGATAAGTGGGTGGTTGTTATAAAAGGGGCTGTAGTGTGGCGTCAGAGGGCTGCATGGTGGACAGCTATAAAGGATTGCGGAAGGACTGCCCGGTTGAGTCACGTCCCGATGAACAAGCAAGAATCGTCCCAATCGCCCCCTTCCTTTCCGGGCTGCCCTCACCTGCGGTCCCCCGGCAGCGCTTCGGCACACACACACGGGCCCAGTCCTCCTGCCGCATTTGGAAGCCAGCTGACCTGCCTCGTTGCCAGCCTTTCAGCGTATGCGTGCTCTCCACTCTTTCAGCTCCCGCCTGCAGCCTGCGCTGGCCGACGTGCTTCCTTGCCTCGACCTGGCACATTCACTCGGCCCTTCCCCGCGTTCGCCCCATCGATGCCCGCCATCCTTTCTGCGATCTCGCCGGGTCACGACGCCGCTCGTCACTCCCGTCCCAATCCGTCAGACGCCCTCCTGCACCATCGGTCCACCAACTCGCCCGTGCTCGTCCTCCCGCGGCCCGAGATATCCCCCTCAGGCACATCCTTTCCCAGCCAATCCGCGCGTTCCCCCGTCCGTACGTAGCTGTTGACGCGCATGCCGAGCGCAGCGGCCCATCCCTCAGTATCAATGAACGATCTATGAATCTCCCTCCTCCGATCCCGGATGTTCTACCCTTCTCCTTTCTCTTTTCGTCTCTTGCTGCCCTATTCTCAGCCCACCCTTGGCCGCGGCTAGCTATCTATAGATAACTGCACGCTCTCCGTATTTGGCCGTCTCCAGTCTCACTCGCCGTATCTGAATCAACCATCAATTATTGCTATCGCGTCAACAATACACCCAGGCCCACTTTCTACACTCTTCCACCCAGTGCTATACAACACATCTGAGTCGCTTACTGATCTCGTATAAGCCATCTTGTGTGCGCTCAATAAGCACTGACTGACCCGTCACTCCCCCGCTGACCAACCCGAACATTCGGTCTCACTTGCCCACTGGGACCGGCGCCTGCCTAGAACCTTCGCTATATACGCACCCAGTCGCCTTCCCTATTGGGCTCTGCTGTCGCCTCCTGTGTTCTCGGTCGAATCACGCTCAGAGTAAGAGCCCACCCAGCCAGCCCCCATTTGGGCTTTTGATCCAGGCTGGCGTTTCTCAGGCTGCGTAAACGCCGCGCAGACGCGTACATCACGTATCGCACTCGAAAGCTGTGATGCCCAGGTCCAGAGTGTATAGATACGCACATGTGCTCTCGCTCTCGCTCGCGCGTCTATCGTCCTAGCATCTAGCAATAGGCCCGTGCCCATGTTGAGTTGGACGTAGGCAATGGAAGCCCGAACTCGAGGCGTACCGTGCTCTGGCTGCTGTGATCAATTGCCTTGCGCTCTGGGCTATCGACCTTCTTTCCTCCAGTCCCCTCCAGCCGTCGACGATTGCGATTAGCCCGGATGTCAATCCGAACGCGAAGCACGCAACCACCACAAACCCGCACGCCCCTGACACCCACCCACCCGTAACTCCCAAACGCCTCTTCACACGAAACAGACGCCCATAAGTACAAACTATCATCGTGCCTTCGCCCCCTCCACCGTTCTCCCCGGATCGTGGGTGTTGCCGTGCTCTTGTTGACTGGAACGCCATACTCAATCGTGATTGCCTACAGCTGATGTGCGCCAGCGCTTGTGGATATGGTCGCAGGTGGGTATCGTGCGTTGCTCACGACGCCATCGGATAGACGCGGGCCCAGCTCTGCTATTCTTGCTCCATGTTTTCCGAATTCATCTCTGAATCAGCATTCATGTGCGTGTGTGTCCCAAAATCCGAATTGTGGGCCGTGCTGAATAACAGCGTTCGCCGTTCGCGCTTTTATCGACCACTCCGAATTGTCTGGTGATGTTTCGCCCGGATCTTGGCCCCAGATAATTCAAGGGTCACGCATGGGGACAGCCATGGTTGTTACATAGTAGATGAATAGGAATCTCAAGCTGCCCAACTTGCGACTGCGCGTGCGTCCACAACGCACATCTAATCTCAGGCACGGAGATGAGATTGGGGTGAGGTCCGCAGGATGACGATGACATCTCCCCGCCCGGACGCGTCGGCGTGCTTTTCATCGCAGTGATATGCGCGTGACGCGTCGCGGCTTGAAGCAACACCATCTACGAATCAAATATCGAATATTGATCATCTAACTAAGTAGTGAACTGCGCGAGGGCATATGCATATTGCTACCACCCGACGTCCCGCACGCAATCCGGAGGGTGCATCCTATTGGACGGGGAGAGCAGGATCCGGAGGGATGTACGCCCGGCACCCGGGGAGCCAATGCGAGTCGCCCGGCGAAAACTTGAAGATATATGCATGTGCACCTGCCGCGGCGGCGTCGGTGAGCGATGCGTCCGAGATCGTCCGCGCCTATAAGGACCCATTACTGCAATTTTCGAGCCCCTGCTCTCGATCGCGCGCAAGAGCCTGAGCACATGAATGCACGGGTGATTTGCAGCTCGGAGAGCGCTCTGTGAACTGGGATGTCCGTGCGTGTTGTGTGTCCTGCCCGTGCTTGCGGGATGGCCCGGGATGCTCGCATGCGTATCCATGCCAGGTCTGATGGTTCATGCTAGGCGACAGTAAACCCGGTGCAATTTAATACGTGGACGCAGGGATCCTCTATCCATCCCGAGCCCCAGACCGGACCAGGGATACATCTCCCCGCGGCTGAGCCTGCCCTACACGTCCGCGACGCGGGACTTGGCATGTCCAATGTCCGTAGCAGCATTACCCACCGGGATCCCAGCTTATAATATATCAACCCACAGCTGATCCAGCAGCAAACCTCCTCCGGCGACATCCCGTAGCCAGATGATATCCGTCTCTGGCTCGGGACAATCTGATTACTGAGCGCGCACTGGCAGGATCCGAGCTCACCACCACACTCGAGTCAGCAGTGATTATATGCATGGCACTGACCTCCTCATGATCAGGCTCTGAACAATCTCCCTTCTGCTCAGCGTGACTCCCCCCAATGCTGATGATCTCCGTAAACGCCGCCAGCATCCATTGCTGATAAGATGATCTATCAGCCGCCGGGTAAGGGAGAGCTCCCGGATGATTACAGTTATGTATAGGACACGAGGATGCATACGCAGCGGCGGGACTCATTCGTAAGCATAAAGAGAGCATTGGTAACGGTGGAGAGGTATTACTAAAGTTCGAGCTGTACACAGGAATATTGATTATAAGGGAAAGTCGCGTTGGTCGGAGTGCGGGCCTGAGTTCCAGAGCAGGTGAGTCCGGGTCCCTTTTGTCGTTGCGAACCCTACAAGCGTTAGACGGATGGCAGCCTGGATTGGCAAGTGCTGGGATCTGGTACTGGCGCTGGCGGATTGTCGGCCGGTTCATATCCCACCTCACCCCGGACACGGGTCGCGGATCCTTGTACGATTGCGATTCAATGAACCTATTGTCAGCGTGATACACCGGCAAGTATAAAGGAGTGACTCGTGAACCTAGTCCTGCTGTTGTGTTGCTGTGCATCCGAGACTCCTTTCATGAACCATGTCTATGAAGCCTTGTGTTCCGATTCGGAGGATGTGAAGATAAGATAGACCTCAGATGGCCTCGCGGGCTGTAGGAAGCCGTTCAGGTGAGCTCGGTTGATCGTACAGGATCCTTTGTCGATATCAGTTCACTGGACTCGGAGCTTGCACAAAGGACTGCGCCTTGCTGGGCGGTGTAATTGGGTTGGGTAGTCTGCTTTGAGACTGAGACGCATGTGATTGTTAGTATGGCCGATTGAACTCCCCCAGTACAAGAGAATCCAAGAGATCTAACTACAGCATAGGTCCGTACGCGCGCACTCTTGTATGTAACGCGGGGCCTCCCACTGGGCTATGGTGTCTCGGAAGTCAGTACCATTCAACTGTGAAGCATATTAAAGAAGCCCGGTAGGGACAATCCTGTAGGAACAATCAAACCCGGAGGCGTTTGTAAAGTGAGACCCCTGGAGCTTAAGCCTAGTGTGCAAGAACCAGACCTACTGATAATCAGTCGGAGCTTTCGAACATGATCTCCGACTGGAGCCTATTCTCTCAACACAAGGGCACAGCAACCCCGGTCCGGAAAGCTAAGAGAGAAAAGGCAAGGATGCAGCATGGCCTGCCTGCAGTGCGCGATTGAATAAACACGGCAAGAGAGACGCGTACGGGGGCGGAGCCGCAGCCTCGCTTAGCGGGCATGCGCCCACCTGGACCTACAAAGAAGGTTAGATCACCGGATCGGTTTGCCGCCCTGGGCCCGCGCTCGCAAGCGTACAGCAGCAGGCGCGAGGGTGACCTAATACAAATGCTAAGCAACGTGGGGTTATCTGTGATATCTTCACGGCGTTTGAGAAGTTGGTCTAGAATGACCCTGCCAGTTGCTCGCATCGTGTATTTCCGTATGACGTCCTGTGGTAGCAGCCTACGGTTGGCGCTGATTGTGTTGGGTTTGACGATTTACGTTGATTATATGAATTGAGACACGATCGTCGCTGTGACGTACACCAATGGTCGACGTAACATAAATCATACAGCAGGAGGGGTGAGATATGTACAAGGGAATACGAGAGCAAAATACAAACATCAACAGAATTTCCAGGGAGTGCGAATGACATAAAGATACGTGAGGCTGTGCAATCGCAATAATAAGGAGGTACGTATCTGTGTTGCTACCCTTCTTCCCTTGCCAAGTATGCCCGCCGGTTGGAGAGGCGTGCGTTTGAACCGTGCATGGAAATTTAGGGGATGGGCGAGCTCGATTATGATACCCTCAATGCATATCACCTTAGCATTGATCTGCACTGCAACTGAACCATTTACGAACTGCATGCGGGATGTTAGCTGTTTGATTTACTTGCCGTGCTAGACGCCGTCGTTCTTGGGCAGCAAGCAACAAATGTGCAGCTACCGCGTTCCGAGGTCGCTGGGATGCAACTGATAGTAAGGTGTTCGAGTTGGACAGCACCCCAGTTTATCCCAGTCTATTTCCAGGTTTTCTAGATGAAGTTTAGCTTCGACCGTACGAATGACTGGTGTCTAGAATAGCGCGAGCACAGAGCATGGAGTAGTACCACTCACTGTGACGCAAGTCCAGGAGAATTCTTGATACATATGGAGAGCAGCACGAAGGGTCATACGAGATATTCTGTTTGAGAGTGAGAGGGGTATACAGGCTCACCAGCGGCCGTTTCATAAGTTTCGACCGCCCCGTGGTGGAGCGATATGGTGCCGACAACTCACCTTGTCAGTCATACAGTCATACACTGACTTATCCGCCACGAACAGCTCACTTCTCCGGACCGAGCGGTAAAGCTTGCCGGAAACGGGCCGAAGGGGGGGGGGGGCGGGGTTGGATAATATCAGTCTCGCCAGGCGCTTAGAAATAAGATACGAACCCAGCGTCGAGGATTTCCGACTTGACAGTTGTAGCCATCCGCTAGAACTGTTTATCTTATCATTGAGATAGAAATGGGTAGATCATCAGCGGATGTTCATTGAGATAGTCCGTATGGGGAGGGCCTTTGCATGATCACCGTTTACAGACAGAAGTCCGATGTATCCCCGACCTTTCCGGGTCCACCTATCCGACTCTGGTAGCAGGCAAAACCGTATGGGGTGGGGGGGAGGGGGGCGTGGACCGGGAGGTATACGGGGACACTATACAACTTCGAGAAGGCATAACTGACAAGTGCATGCTGGGCACGGGATTCTGTTGTCTCCTGACTATTCCAGTATGGTCAGACGGAGCGCAGATTGTCGAATAACCTCGCAAACCTTCTCCGTGGAAGAATATAATCTATCGGGCGTGCCTATCTACTCAGCAGCAGTCAGGACTTCGTATCCCGGCATTCTACAAACATAGGACTGACCATGCATGGGTCTTCCCCACAAACTCCGCGAGCAGACCGGGGATCCGCCCCGTCCGAGGGCAAGCTTCTTCCGATTACAATCGGCATCTGATCAATCCAATCTGCTTAATGGAGACGTGCTATAAGTGTGTGGAAGCTGCTGCCAAGTGCAGAGTCTGAATCGGGGGAAGCAGATGGGGAGGAGATGGATAGATAGATGGATACGATGTGAATGGAACGGACCGATGCAAGGCCCGAGGAGATGGGAGTAGGTATACCTAAGTAGATGCCGGGTGTTCAGACAAGGGCAGCGAGTCGACAGATAATCAACCGCACAGCGTCCGGAGTCCGAAGAAATCGCTAGGGAATGTTGCAAGTGCACGACCGGGCATAATGCGGACGAATACATGATAACCCAGCAGAGCTGCTCCCAGTCCTTCCAAAAGAAGCAGAAAAGCGGCACTGGGTTATAGCTCTTCTACTTTCCGGCAGAGGATCATGGGCAAGCAATGAGAAGACTATATGGCAGATTGGTGTCAACGGGGATGCGTCTGTACATATGGGAGGAAGGCGTTGATTATCGCAACACAATCACAGAAGAATCAATACGGTATAACATCCAATATTTCCTGAGCCAGAGACCTGTGTATGATCCACGCAAGTACGCTGTAGCGTTCGACTTGAGAGTGACAGGTTGGCAGCCACCGGCAGGTGCCGAATCCCTCGTGCAAAACACGTGGTTGCACCGCATTTCCCGGCAACCCGTGACGCATGCGCACGAATCATTCATCCTCCCCGCTCGAAGCCTGGTCTGCGATCGCACTATCACTGTATCAGGCTGAAGCTTCATTACAGGAGCTATACAGGTTCGTACTCTCTTTCGTATTGCTCTAGTACCGCTCTGATATCTGTTTGTAGTCCCCCTACTAGCTCAATTCCCGGCTTCTTCGTTGTTCGGGGACCTCTCGTGAACCGCGCATATTTGGGAAGCTGACCGGGTCTAGCTTCCGAGCATCGTGCGGGTTTATCCAGTGAACGACAGAGAGCCGTGGATTAGTCCTATGCAGCGCAGCTGTAGTGATCGGACAGTTGACACGACGTTGAAGTGAGTCATACGTAAAATAACTGCCCTATCAGTCAAACAATTACGCGTCGATACTTATGGTCCTTACCCGAGCAGACTTTCCCTCTCTGCACGATGAATGCTTCATTTGCGGCGTACGCGTCGCAGTTCCTCACCCGACAGCAGCAGCAGCAGACGCAGGCCTCTAGCTTATCTTCAAGTCAGCCGCTCTTCTTCTCATTTACCACCGATAATGGGTCACGCGGGGGTAATAACGATACTGATTTGGACGACCTAGATGACCCTCATTTGCGCGCGAGTGAGATGAGCAGGGCAGGGACGCACGGGGCGTCCTCGAGTGCGCGGAGGGTGGAAGATGATGACGATGAAGACCCGTATCTGAGGCTGGACGAGGACGACAGTCCTGCGGGTGGGCCGGAGTCGCACTCGATACCACTCCTCCAGTCACACCGCGAGCCTAGTCATGGCTGGCTGGCGCATGCGTCGCCGCTCCGACCGGATTCGCCGTTGTCGACGCCTTCGTCTGAAGAGGCTCCCAGCCCGCCTCGCAATCCCAGCCCGCCCTCGCGGTACCCTCGAGCACAACCGCCTCCTCCACCTCGGACAGCGATTAACCTGTCCTTGACCGAGTCTCTGCTCCCGAGAGATGGCAGTACACGAGCTACCGACGCCTTTTCTCTCCCGGACCCCCGTCATCTCCACCGCGGACGCCGGAAGTACAACGACTCGATATGGACGGCGCTTTGGCTCGGCAGCGTCGGCGTATGCGCCTTTTTCTCCATCCTCCTTCTCTTCCTCACCCGCAGACCGAAAGACACACACAACATTAGCCTGCCATACCCCACGCTTCTCCATACAGTCCCGCTACTGACGATCATCACATTCCTGAGCGCACTGGTATCGTATGCGCATATATTTCTGCTGCGCATATTCGTTGCTCCGGTCGTCTTTGCTACGTCCGTGTTCATCCCTGCCACCCTATTCATCTCCGCGTTATGGGCGTTCATAGGAAGCTTCATGTGGGATGGGGATCAGGAACCGACATGGGGTGAAACCGTCGGGTGAGTGGTAATGGTCTTCATTAAGACACATGCTATAACTCCGCGCAGGCTCCGACTATTCTCCCTCGTTCCTCTCATCCTCTCCCTAATCACAGCACGCCGCCTTGTCCACCTCCCCCGTGAAATCCACACTACCTCGTCCCTCCTCACCCTCGCAACGCGTCTCCTCGTCGCCAATCCCTTCCTGCTCGCACTATCCCCCGCCATCCTCCTCGCCACGCTTCTCCTCTCCATCCCTTTCGTGACGCTCATCTTCCGGCTGCTGCTCATCGGCTACTTCACGCATAACACCAAGCAGGGTACGTGGGAGTATCATGTGAGAGCCTGGGCCGGGTGGGCGATTGTAGGCAGCGCGAGTGTGTGGATGTGGTGCTGGGCGGTTGCGCGGGGCATCTTGAGAGTAACCACGTCCGGTGTCATAGGTGCATGGTACTTCGCCGAGTGAGTCCGCCACCTCCTCTCCCCTCTCCGCCCGCTAAACGTCACCCAGCCAATCCGCACCGCTTCCCCCGCCCACAGACACGCACACGATCCACGCGGCGCTCTTCCGCTCGACGCAGCCCGCGCTGGGCACGGTCTGCCTCGCCTCGCTCATCCTCACCGCGACGCGCGCCTTCCTCCTGCTCGCGTCCCTCCTGCGCATGCTGCCCTCCGCGCTGCCGCTCCCGGTGCAATTCCGCCCGCTGCTCGTCGCGGCGGCGTGGCTCGCGGGGTTCCTGGAGGGCAAGGCGAGCAGCATGAGCACGTACGCGCTGTGCTACGTCGGGCTGACGGGCCAGCCGTTCTGGCGTGCCGCGGAGAGGAGCGGGGAGTTGACGTGGAATGTGGGCGGGGAGAGCCGCGATCCGAGGCAGCCGGGGAGGTACAGAAGGAGGTTCAAGTCCGAGCGTGCGTGGCCCTGCTTCACATAATCTCTACCTGAACTGATTATGTTATGTTTCTGCAGCGCCGTTGACTCTGCTGACTGTTGCGCCGCTGACGCTGACGTTCCCCTTCGCGCTTACGACGTACCTGTTCGTGGCGCACACCTTGAACGCGCCGGACTCCGCGCTCGGGGCTGCGCTGCTCGGGGGTGGGGTGACGGCGCTCGTGGGCGTGTTTTGCGTGGGGCTGGTCAGGGATACGTACGTGGAACAAACCACTCGATTGCCCTTGAGCTAACGGCCAGTATGAATCAGGGCCGACGCGGTGTACATGTGCTACTGCATCGACAAGAGCCTGGGCCAGAAGCGGAGGGAGGAGGTATTCGACACTGTAAGCCCTTGTCAGACCCGCTAGCCGCCGTACACCTCTCACGTGCGGGCATATCTTTCAGTTCGAGTACGACGTGCGAACGCCGTCGGCGCCTCCGCGGCAACGGCACCACCAGCCGGCGTTGAGCGAGGGCCTGCGCCTCGCGCGCGAGCCGCTGTCGTCGCTGCACCAGCACGAAGACGACTCGGGGTCGGACGAGGCGGAGCCGGAGCCGGAGCCATTCTTCCCCGAGCCGCGGGCGTACGACGCGGAGGTGCCGCCGTCGTATAGCGGGTACGAGGCGAAGCGGTCGGGGGATCTGGAGACGGGGTTGGGTTCGGGTTCGGGGCTGGGGTCGGGATTGGGGAAGTCGAGGGTGGAAGGGGAAGAGGGGGAGGGGGAGGGGGAGGAGTCGCAGATGTTCCCCGGCTCGGATCTGTTCTGAGGGACGGAGTGCTGCAGGCTTGGGATGCTCTGGCTCTGGCGGTCGTGACAAGATGATATGATATGACTTTATGCCATGACAGGACTGCTTGGTGGTGCGTTGGCATACATGTTTTCAGGTTTGCTTTACTGCGCATTAGTTAGAGAGTGATACTTTAATGTCATCCATTGTATATCCTGCTCGAAACACATAGTCGTTGTCTATGACATGCTGTTGTGGTTTTCTGCCGGTGCTCACCGGACTGTGGGGATCTGCTAGATGCGATGCGCTGGCCGTTGCGTATCGTTTTACCAGCCGTCATGGTGTCTCATTGGGCACGAAATTCATTCACGGATCCTGTCTTACTCATACTGAATGGAATCTCCTAGGACAAATTTCCCTTTCCTTCTACGCAAGATATTTCATCCCGTCGAATACAGTACAGCTCGTTCAATTGCCGGCGTTGTGGAATCCGGGACGACTTTGTGGCTTCGCTCTGAATGGAAGGTCTGGTAACAGGGAGTTCCAACACTTACTTAATAGAGACTGGGATGAAGTCTGGTGCAGAAAGGGTGCATGTAGGGATGAGGAGCCGAGAATGGGAAGTCGTGCAAGGGGCGTGAGGGGCGTTGCGCGGTATGAGTCGCTATTTACGTCTCGGTATGCGTCGTGGGCCTCGTTGACCCGTCATTCTGCGGTATATTCGGTTTAGGGATAGAGCAGACCTTATTATCAATGAATGATGGACGTCAGCGTGCACTACATCGCGTAAGTGCTGGTTCATTCGATACGTGCACGACGACGAGCACAGCAGACATTTCTCCTTTATTCTAATAGCCTGGTTAATGATGTGCTTACGTTGGGTGATCGCCATGACGCAACACGACTTTATCTTATCTCTGGTCTCTGGAGCGTGGATGGTTGACATCATCGCATCTGCTATCTAATCGTAGCGGCGCAAGCGCCAATCCCCGACTCCAGTCAGAAACCATCAAGTATTCCAGTACTAGTGTCTGGTCAAGTTGCGGAATGCCAGTCTTGACGTGTATGGACACATACACAGTATTGATATAGTCCTGTCTTATATCTACATCAGTATTTAAAGGGGCTTCCTCCCAGTTCCCGCTCAGAGATACTAGTCTCATTTGTCAGCCTCACTTGTGTCAATGCATCCTTTTATCGAATGCTATGCACTGCATCACTTTGACCTTTCACGTCAGGTGTGTGTGGGCAGTTGTCTTCAAGTCGAAACGAAAGTGGCGTCGGTCCGGTCGGGACGTTGCTTACATGAGGTTCTCACGGCGAGAGCGAGTTGTATGGTGGAGCGACCATTTCTTCCCGACAGAACCCTCCTCCCAACTACCGTGGGAGTCGGGGATCGCGCAGCTTCACCTCCACCTCATCATCAACTCGAGTACAAGAGAGGGACCCGGCGTTGATGAGGGCGGCATGCATACCTGGACGGCATATGTCCTCTCGCCGCTGCGATGCGAAACAGACGCGGTTCCATGCCGTTCGCTGGCGATGTACTGCGATACGTCTGTTGTATGTATGCTCGGCGGCGGCCCAGCTCGACACCGCCAAGGACCTCCACCCACAACATCAGAGCCAGGTCAATGGCTTACCCGGCTGCTCCCTATATAGTAACAATCCACCACTGCTGCCATTTTCGACGTGGCTCCGGAACTCGTCGCAAGTCCTAGCGCGGTCGAATTGGACACGTCGACGAGATAGACCTTTTGTTTCCGTGAGTATCTAATCTACCAGACGCCGTCTTCCCCTTCCATGCCCCTTTCCGTTTCCTCTGAGTCCTGTGTGCACTGCGGGTTTGCGCTTTGCACGAGCGGATAGGGCGCACATATCCTCCTCCTCCATACCGCTGGGCGGGAACGTATCCATCCCTCCCGCCGTTGGTGTCCTGCGTGACTGCTCCAATAGTAATGTAGATTGCACCCGAGCACTTGTGAACCGCCCACGGACTCCGCATGCTCTCCAGTCTCCTATCTTTCCCCCGCCTCCAAGACGTCTACGCCTGCGACGTCTCTCGCCTTCGTCCCATCCACAAAGTCGCGTCCGGGTCATACCCCTCGCCCAGACGTCCCCCCTCCGAGTAAATCCTCCCATCATGTTGGCGCGCATGTCCGTGCAGACAAACATCCTCTGGTGCGTCTCTGCTCTGCTCTTTCGAATCATGCACCACGGACGCGCCGCGTCGGCACACGTTCCGCACCGCGCTCTGCCGCTCGCTCATCCTCACCGCGACGCGCGCCTTCCACCGCTCGCGTCCCCCCTGCCCTACCGCGCCCGATACGATTTCCGCCGCTGCTCGTCGCGGGGGCGTGGCTCGCGGGGGTTCAAGTCTGAGCGTCAGCAGTCACGCTTGATGTTGCCTCTCGGCTGTGCTGCCTGTCCTTCGTTTCTGCACTGTGCTGTCGACTGCCAGTGCTGTCGACTGCCAGTGCGCCGCTAACTCTGGCGTTCCCCGTCGCGTGACGACGGACCTCTTCGTGCCAGTGGCGCACACCTTGAATGCGCCCGATCCCGCGCTGGCGCTGCTCCGGGGCGGCGTCACTGCGCTCATGGGGACGCTTTGCGGGGATGGTCGGGGGTACGTACGTGCGGATTGTGTATCCGGTTCGCATTGAACTAACGACCGGTGCGTTGATCAGAACTCCAGTGTACATCGATACGAGCGCGGGCCAGAAGCAGAAGCGGAGACGGTTTTTTCGATACTGCAAGCCTCATCGAACCCTTCACCCGTCATGCACCTCTAGATCTAACCCACGGTTACGCATTTTTGCATCTCGCGTCTGCGCTGACACGACAACTAAGCACCAAGCACCACCATCCCATGCCCGCGAGCCCCTGTCGCCGCTGCACCGGCACGAACGTGGCGCCCTGGCCGGGATCTGGAAACGGGCCAATCTCGCACCGGTGTATTTATACGAGGAGCGTAACTTCGTAATAAGCAGATATATAGTATCGGCCGTTGTGCGGTACCTTGGTTCATGTCGGCCACGGTGACGGTGATTGGTATCAGAGTTATCAAGTTGATGCTCTCGCGCCAGGGGATGCGGTGGCATCAAGGCGATGTAATGGTTTCGTAGCAGAATCAAAGGCGAGCGAGCTTCAACTTGATTGAGCCACCGCCATCATGTGAACACGATGGCCATGTCGACACTTTGTAGAGTACTCCATTCTATGGATTGCGGGGACTGTGGCGCCGCTTGCTCAGGCTTCTCGGCCACAAATTCAAACGTGAGAAAAGTGGCTTCGATGTTCGGACGGTGCATGGCACATTGCCACATTCATCCGGCGTCTTCGAACACTAATCCACCGCTCACGACCACTGTGAATTGCTTCTGCCCCCAGTCGAATTGCTGTAGCAGAGGGGGGGGGATTACAATACCGGCGGACGAAACAATGTCCACGTGGCACAACACCGGCCTGCTCAACGCGTTTTTCAGTCAAGCCTCCTCTTTCAGGAGAGCGTGTTGTATCTTGCGCTTGCGTAACTCTGCTTGTAGAATAGTGAACACTGAATCGTGACTGATCAAACGTCAAGCTTCTCCTTCTGGTTTCCTCCTGCTGTTGTGTCATGCCAGTCTGTCGATTCATCATAGCCTCTCCGTCGCCGACGTCGTCCGATCCTTCTAAATCGCCGTTACCTGACATTGATCACTCGAACACGATGACCATGTCGACGTCTCCGGCCAGCAGGTCTCCAGCCCCTCGCCGCTGGCAAACCCAACGTCGCACCACGTCCTGGGTTTCCTCATAACCGAGGATCTCATCACTCGCCCCATCTGCGATAATTTCATTAAACTACCAGATAACCCTTCCGAGCGCGACAAAGAATGTTACTTACAGACTCCGGAATACTTCCTACCCCGCCTCCTCCCGCGCGAGTACGGCCTCACAAACCTGGAGAGCGAACTCGTCTATGTGGACCAGGAGCGCATGGATATGGGTTCTGCGCTCGTACTCGCGGACAATCGGGGTGCGCACCCGAAACAGCGAGAGCCGCCTCCACCGGATGTGGTTGACAAGATTGCGGACGACCTGGGACTGGAAGGCGACGCCCGCGAGCCTGTTTGGTACAAGTGCGTTTATTAGGCAACCGGTGCGTCTGGGATTTACCTTTCAGCATCCATCCTTACCATCCTCGCAGCCTGCGGCCCGCGGCCGGTGACTCCGAGCACCGCTCACTACGGTGGCTTCTCTTCGTCTTGGGCAATACGTCCCCTCGAAAAAGGCAGTCCCACGGCTCGCTAGCTCACACAAATCACCATCCTCACGGATTGCAGTCAGCAGTGTTCACCAGGCTCGGTGGCTTACAGATTCGCTGCCCGAAGGAGGGTCATGGAAATATGTCAAGGTAACTTCATGACTTCATTCGTCGAAGCTCCGACTTTTGTGCTGAAACAGTCCGTGAGCCTTTACCGGGGATACGTTGCATTTCTTCAGTGGCGGTCTCCGGTCGAGTGCGCACCGAATGCCGCGAGTATTCCACTTCGATGCCCTTTTGGTCTTCGTGTGCCTGACTGCTATCGGTCTGGGCTCACAATCTCAGCATGAGCACTGGTCCATTGTATATTTCACAAGGCCCATTGATAACATTGAACTCAGAACTCTGTCCGAACAGAGCAGGCTGATTGCTGTCGTTACGAAGGCTGCCTCTGGGAATTTGTCTCCAGGCCTGATGGCAATCCAGTGGTATGGGAAGAAGACTATGAAATATTTAATCAAACATCATCCAGCATCGAGCTGATTTGTATCTAATCTTGACCCAGTTTCATAATCTTTCATGGCTTCCAGGACTATTGTGTTGCTGTTGTATTGTATGCCCCACTGGAGGCCGGAGGATCGATCGCGCGACTGGTTTCCATATTGCCCCACAATTCCTGTTGTTTTAGTGGAATAATGTGGACAATGCGCCCTCTACGGAAGAAGATGGAGGTCGGACTCGGACCAGCGGCGATCGAGGGTCCTGATGCTTCTCAGAGCGCCTTGAAAGCCCCTACTCGCTCGATATCTACACGACACGAACAGTCAGAATAATATAAATCCTGACCAAGACGCAAACGCGATTGACTTGGAGGACTCAGTCATAACCCAAGAACAAGGAGTGGACACAACTCCCTCGCACTATCGTTAAGACGCCGGACAGAGGAGGCAGGTACATACATGGACTGAAGATGCATATATAGCACTAGGTCTCAGGCTACAGGAAACAGAGAACCTATCAGCCGTATCGGTTGATCATGAGTGACTTGGTTCACCGTCTGTTTGATCATGCGATACATGGCGCTAGCCACATAGGTCTCATCGAGACTCTCGGCGACATAACGATCAGGCGAATGCCAGGGCCTCCCAGAGGGTTTCGCAATCCACGGAGACCGATGTATTTCATAGCTTTGGCTGAAACGCTACGTTGGCTGGCAGTACCATGTACGTGGCAGTCCTCCGCAGTTAAAAATGTGCACGAATAGTCCAGGAACACGCTCACGTTTCCCTGCTTTGGTGTTGAATACATGACACTAATGCTAATAGCGGACGGTCCGGCGACACCGCAGTCCCGACCGCACTTAAGTTTGCCAATCGCTGAACTTTATGGATGACGGCGTCTAAGACTTGAAGGCTATATAACAGATATCGTAGGTAGATCACGATTCACAACCCGGACACCCCAAATAAACCGCACAGCAGCATGAACATGAAGGTACTCGCCATAGGAGCCTCCAGGAACATCGGCTATTACGCAGCCATCCGTCTCCTGGGTCTGTAGCATTCTTGCCGTCCAGCTCAACTCAGCTCACGCCTGCTGTGTTCGTTCAAGATGAAGGCGCCTCCATCACATTCCTGCTCAGGTCACCGTCGGTGTTCGACAACGACGAGAAAATCAAAACCTATGTCACATCGGGCAGAGCCAGACTCGTCAAAGGTGATGCCTTGAACAAAGAAGACCTGCTGCGTGCATGGCAAATTGCCGGGCAGAGCGAGAATGAGGGAGTAGTGGGTTTGCTCCTATTCACAGTTGGTCAGACTAAGTTGCATGTCACGGGAGCATATCTACTCACATAGTTTCTCAGGCGGAAAACCCTCCTTCTCGATTACCAAGGGAGCCATCATCACGCCTGCCGACCTCTGCACTCAATCACTCCTCAACGCACTCACCACTATCCCTGCTTCTAATAAACCCAAGATAATAGTGATCACTTCAAATGGTCTGGACAAAGCTTCGCACAAAGCATTGCCGTTGCCCATGAGGCTCCTATACGAATATCTTCTGGGAGGACCACATGAAGATAAATTAGGGGCCGAGAGGGTCCTAGCACACTGCACCGGAAAAGCTTGGATAGATCCCGAACCGAAGGCCCATATTCTGCCAGCAGGTTGGCTTACAACGCCTGGACTGCCCTCCGGCGGAGAATTGAAAGAGGATGTGGTAGTGGTGCGGCCCGCAATGTTAACGGATGGATCTTGTCGAGCAGAGGCAGGGAAAACATACAGAACCTCTGACACCATCATCCTGGGTGCTTATACGGTTTCCCGCCGAGACGTTGCACATTTCATAGTGGAAGGCATTATCAAAAACTGGGATACATGGAAGGGCAAAATAGCATCTATTGTTTATTGATTAGCCAGCGTAGCATCTGTATCAGATACGTGGCGGATCACTCACCGTATATTATGTACAAGATGTGGATATTCCTCACTTGCAAGGCATACATCGTGTACCTCTCCTTTCAAGTGTCCGTGGGATGAGGCTATCGTAATAAGCAGCGAACAAATACAACAGAATACGGGAAGGAACAAAGCAGGCCACAACCTCGATCCTACGTCCGTGTCCTCTGCCTCCGATTAGCCCTCCGGTTGCGTTTGACTGTCCTCCATATTAACGTCCAGATCCCCGATGCTATGCCTACGGGCGGAATTAACCAACAAACGCGCCATGTCCAGTCGACCTCCTTCTTGAGGCGATTTATGAAGGACGTGACTTGCTGCTCCAACTCTTGGACAGTACCAGAGTTGTCAATGACCTCATCTGCATAGTCTACTTTCTCTGTGATCGGGAGTTGGGCGTTCAGCCGGGAGGTTGCAGCTTCGCGACTGGAACCATCCCGCTTCATCAGGCGCTGGAGTTGGATTTCAGCGGAGCTTTTGGGTTGTGTGAGCGTCTGGGAGTGAAGAAGATGAAGAGAGAGACGTACCAGTACACAACCACGACCTTGCCGACCCATTTGTGTATGCCAGACTCGATTAGGAGAGGCACATCCACGACGCACATCTTCTCTCCCTTGAGCCAATACTTCACGACGGCCCAGAACATCGCCCATCGCACAGCAGGGTGGACTATTGAGTTCAGTTTCTTCCGCTTCTCTGCATCCGTGAATACGATCGAGCCGAGCTTCGGCCTATCCAACGTCCCATCTTCCTGTAAAATAGTGGGCCCAAAGTACTGTACGATTTGCTTGTGAGCCTTGGTCCCAGGCAGCACCACCTCCCGAGCTAAGACGTCCGCATCAACCACCGGAATACCGTGCGTCTTCAATAAGTTGGATACGGTAGACTTGCCAGTCGCAATGCCACCAGTAAGGCCTACGACTGCTAGATGTCAGATTCAGAAAGTAAACGAAACATCAGAAGTACCCAGCATGACGGCCGTACAATATTGATTGAGAGATGTGGCGGAAAGTAGGTTTATATCATGACAGAAAGTGGCTTTCATGGCGTTACGTGTATAGTGGCAGGATTAAATCTAATACAGGGATTAAACGAAGGCAACAAGAGGGTCGCGAGCGAGTAATATATGAGGCGTCTATCAACCAGAGAAAGTCTAAGCCAAACGAGCAAGGAGGAAGAAGCCCACTAGAGATCTACTTAGTAGACCCTCAACTGAGGCCGATCAATTCCTTCTTCAACGCAATCTCATCCCGTAACATAGCGATCCTCGTATCCAATCTCGAAGACAAGTCTATCTCCTTCCCGGAGAGCGAGAGGGCCTTGTCTAGTTTGTCGCCAGCATTGTTCAATGCGGTCTTCCAAGCTTGCTTCGCCTCCTCCGAAACCTTCGGATCCCGACCACCCTCCTGATCGGCAGCTTCGAGCTCTTTCAGGTCAAGAACCGCGAGCTCGAAAGTAGCCACGCCAGAGATCCAGGTGCTGACGCGAATCTTGGGCTGACGCACGATGGCATCCACAAGGAATGCCCGCGATGGTGCATAGCTACCAACCGTCCGATGCACAATACCAAGAAGTAGGGAACGTAGAGCCAGCTCATCCTCCGTGTCCAGATCCGGAACGTTCGCCACTGCCGCAGTATCGACGATGTATGGGCTCTGAATGGCAACAGGCGGGCTCAAGGAGGCCCATTCCTTGATGTGTGCTTCGGCGACACCTTTACCAATCCTAGAATGGGTATTCCAGACTTCGCGTGCGACCTTTCAGTCAGTCACTGAATCCCATTCATGCATTTAGGACTTACAGAGACCAAGTTCTGTGAAAGTGGATGTTCATTCAAGATGCCCAGGATGCACGTGGCGCTGCTTACCTTCCGCGGGACTGATGCTGATGCACTGGACATATTCCGCCTCCTTCCCGCCTCTACGCTTCTGCTTTTCCTTATAGAATGTGACTGGAGGATAATGTTTAACAGAGGCTCTATAGAGCACGAACAAGGACGCACTCTTCTTCTTGATGAACACCTCCGTAGGCAGATCTCTACCATGGAGCTTTCGCTTTTCCATGGCAGCTGGCACAGCGTCCAGAAGCTCCTGAGCCTTAGCGCGATTGCCTACTGAGATAAAGCACCCTGTGCTCAACTTGTTAGCCATGAGCCACTGCAGGGCCTTTACTGGGGCATACCTGCGGCGATAAACAAATACGTAGCATGACTCCTATGAGCATACGAGCAAGCTCAGTGAAGCAAACCTGAGGTAGAGTTGCACCCACGTACCAGCTATTTCGTTCGGTCATCTCAATAAATAGTTTTGCCGATTCCTCGTATCTTCGCTGGGACAGAAGAGTCCATGCGAGCTCAAATAATAACTACGCCTGCTTTAGGCGAGTGATCGAGTCACAGGGACAAAGGGGCTTACAAGGGCGTCTGCTTGCACGAACATCTGAGGATGCTCCGGGGAAAGACCCTCCTGTAACACTGTGATCGCAGCTTGGGCATCTCCAGACATGCGCAGGATTTTCGCCTGGGTGTTCCTCGTCAGACAGAGGTCAAGTCATCCTGGAGCAAGCAGCTCACCCTATTTAGTATCCATAAGGAGCCCGTAGGATACCTCGCGGAGATTCTACAACACGTCTCAACGACCAATATAGGTCGAGGTGAATGACTGCGCCTACCTATCCACGATCACCCGATACTGCTTCAGAATATGGTCCTCGTCCGCCTGATACCCAGACAGCAGGAGAACTACGCCATGGTATGTCATCAGGGCTAACCTACCGCCAAGGGGATATTCAGGTACGGCACTAAACTGCCTAGGAGGGAACTGGACTAACCCGGCAAAGACGCTATGTACATCAGAGCGCGCAGCGGACACTGCTAATGCCTGAAGGGCGAGTTTCCGGTCGGACGTGTACCCGAAGAAACCCACAACACCCCTGAGATTCATGAGTCAGCCATATGCTCAAGAAGCGCCGAGACTGCGACGCATACTTCACTTTGGCAGGGAGAAGCGAGAGTACCAAGTTGAATAGACCGTAGCCTACGAAAAGTGATCTTAATCAGGAGTGGAGGCAATCACGACTAATCGTAGCGCACCGAAGGCAGCTCCAGACAGAATCAGTTCCTCGACAGGACCTTGCGGCTCCTTCACTGTAACAGACTTCTGTACCGACGAAGAGCTGCCCCACCGGCCGAAGAAGCTTGGTTTGGCCGAAGCAGTGGTCGTTGCAGTAGAGTCAATCGACGCTGCTGAGGACTTCAAACTTGGTGTTGAGGGTTTCCTCGAAGGTCCCGGACTCGACGCTGGTGTTGCGTAGTCATCTAACCCGGCGGGGAATACGGTCTTGTAAAGCCTATCTACGAGCATTTAGAGATGATTGGTAAAGACTTTTCTAAGCTTACCTTGCAAATTTGGAATGACCGCTATGTATTCAACGGCATGAGTAGAAGACGACAACACGCCAACGAAAATATGCTTGCCTGTTTAGTGCGTACCTGCATAAAAGCTCAGTATCTGCATATATAGATGTATTATAGAGACAATTACAAGCATTGCACGTATCCCATATATGATTCGCTGTTAAGCGCAGTTAGGATATGCTTCTCCGTTATGCCGCACGCCACGAACCTCAAGGCATGGGTTAAACCTAGCAGAATGACAGCATCTGCGTGGAGCAGCTCCCATTCGGAACCAGGAGGAAAGCGCCCAGAAGCACTAGAGGTCTTCCCCAATTTCATGCATTTCTTAGCACCATTCTCAGATAGTGTCAAGCAGCGAGTCGCCTCGCCCATCAAGTGCAACTGTACAGCATCAGTGGCAGTATCGTATGTTCAACTAGTCGGACAACATACCTCCATACCCAAAGCTGCCTCTAAAAATGCGCAAACGCCCAGTCCTAAAGCGTGGAAAGGAGAGTCCTTAGCTGCGAAGGTCTCGCGAGCCTTGCCAATATCATTGGCAAACAAATAATCAAATCCCTTCGTGGCCTCCTCAAGTCTTGAAACAACGTCTTCGCTGGATAAAGCCATGGTGAACACAGCTACAGTCGAAGTGGGCGCTGGAGAAAGTCACGGTGGCGAGCGTTGCTGTACTCAACGCCACAATTCCGGATACAGGAGTCTCGACGTCAGCCAAAGCCGGCCGCGGCACCGTAACTTCCCTCCGACTCTCCGAGTCCCACAGGCATACCTTGAACCCTGACATTGCGTGAAGGCCTGTAAGTGCAACCACACCCTATTTAAGCATTCGGCTGGTGCATGGAACGGTGGAAGGGAAGTACCTATGAGCCTTATATTAAGGACACGTGTACGTGCCCCAGTACTGTTCGAACGAATGCTCATCGACCTGTGTTAACTCAAGATGTCAAAACTTGCCACACCCTTGTACAAGGTTTCATGCTTCATAATCTACGCAGCCCAATTCTAGCAGGGGATAGAGCGCTCGTCTGCTCATGATCATGATGACCCAAGACGATTCATGCGGAACGATGTCTATCAAGCAATATTAATGATCAATACTTGCAGAGCTTCGAAGGCGATTGACGCCTGAGCGGCATGTTTTGCTCCGTCGGTAGTGTCACGCGTCATGGATCAAGGACATAGGCTTGCGCTAAGCACGGGATGTCTCGCTGCCCGATGCGGTGGAACACCACCTATACCGAGGTCCGACCCGAGTCTGGTTTGCACCCGATTCCGATGCTGTGCGGTATCGGACGAAGACCTTTTTCCGTCAAAAGACCCTCCAAAGAGTGCCTAGTCGGTGTATGTCCAAAGGATTCGAGAATATCGTGAAATCTCATGTCTGCAATAAACATGGTCGAAGGTAAGTTCCCTTGTCTACAGTCGGGATCACTGCTGTTGAATGCAGATGCATGACTGGTCATTACCATCACATCTCCGTTCGCGTCTGAGCGCACGACGGCCCAGCGTGACTAACATAGTCGGGCTTCTCCAGGTCTATCGAATGCTATTGCGACTAATCAAGACACGCGAAGCGGACGTCGCCCCAAGAAGACAATCACGAACTCTGAATGAACAGCCATTCATCTGATGGGTGCTTTCCGGGGTAGCTTGACCGGCGCTATGCGTGGAAGATGGATGTACTACTGCTTCGACCTTTTTCATGCCTGGCTCTGGCCAAGCTAGAGGTAACAATGTTCGCACATTAGCCTGGACTCCTTTCGGTAACCCAGATTGGTTATCCTCCGATCCCCCCCTCCCCCCTCGTGGTGAGGTTTTCTCTGGGGAGTCTGAGACCTATTGGATCGTTCGGTTAACAGAGATTTGCCTCCGGATTGGAGTGCTAATCCGCTTGTAACGGTCTCATCCATATACCACTACTCGTCGGCAACTGCTTCTCGGCGTCTCATGGTCCTCCTACTTATAGTACTGGAATCGGTGCTTCTTAGGCGTCATCGAACTAGGCATATGCTCTTTAGGCGGTTGCCCTTAGCATGGGTCCCGTTGTATTCGGCCACTCGGGCATATGGCCGTGAGGAAGTACTTCCATTGGTGTACCTTCGACTGGGTGGGAAGATCGGTCTACGCATCTTTTCAGCAACCTCCGGACCTGTCCCATTGGGCAATTGGATGATGGCCTGTGTACCGTTGGGGACTTTGCCTTCAGAACAGAGCCTATCAGCTAAATTGCTGGAGACTTCAGGAGAGTTAACTATATCAAGCGCGAGTGATATTTACGGCGTCCCGAAAAGTAGTACCAATGTCAGACAGGTATCTCCAATGCAGGTGAGTATGCAGTACGTAACTTACGGCAGGAGGTATCTTGCAACCATCCGAAAGTCGGAAAAGGGGGAATGTTCAATGTGGAACTCGAACGCCTTAGAAGCGAGGTATGCGTTCCGGATCTGGCTACGTCGCAGATTGGAATTCTGCAGTAGGCGTCTTCAGCCTTACCCAGGCTGTACTAGTAGTAGGTGATATGCCCCACTGGGAGTGCATAACCCTGCATAGACATTCATAGTTTGCTGACATGGATCCCTTCTCGGGACCAGTAAACGAAACCTTCGTTCTTCTGCGATAGCGATCTCAGCGGACGTGAACCAACCAGCTTCCATCAGCGGTGCATGACAGTGCGTATTGCCGGTTTCCGTGACAAGGTCTGTATTTAAAAACCCTCTTCTCCCCCGTGGCCATCCCCTTTCTTCTCCTGCCTCTTTCACTATGCCCGCAGCTGTGGTCGAGGATGTCGGCGGCGCCTTTCTTGTTTCTCTTTTCATAGCCGCTATGTTAGTCGCTGACCTGTATCTTGTCGCGTGACATCCCACTGACCGAACCAGTCTTTACGGTGTAACATGTTGCCAGACGTTCCTTTATTATCAAAATTATCCCAGTGATAGGGCAATGCTGAAGACTCTGGTACGATCGTATAGCTCTTGTTGTTAGTCGTGTCTGACAGAAATTGCTAGGTCGCGGTCGTATGGTACGGACCGACGGTAACATTAAGCGGGTTCTGGTTGTTTACCAGGACTCTTAGCGTTATAGAGACTTTGCACACTGCATTCTGTATCGACTTCATCTACGCTTACCTCATAACCAACTTTGGTGACGCGAGTACGTTGGATCGCATTTACTGGTGCGTGCGCCAACTTTCATATGGCCTACACATGCTCACCCATATCACCAGGAGCGTCGGGGTAAGATCTAGATTATTCCATCCATTCAGAAGAGATTTAACCCTTGTTTGTAATCAGGTCACAGTCATCCTGGGAGTATGTATTTTTCAAATATTTACAGACCCAGGACTGAAACACGGCCTTCCAGGTATTAGTTTCCGGGGTTGCGCATGCGTAGGTTGTCGCCTATCTTGTTTACTGCTGGCTAACACTTGGAAGTAGATTCTATATTCGACGGGTCTGGATCAGTGAGTGACTATTTAGCGTCCTGGTGGGGCAACAAATAACTTTGCCCGCTCTTAAGTGAGCAAGCACAACATCCCCTTGACACTCCTTCTGGTACGGCCTGTCCTCTCATAAAAGGAAAGCATACCGATGTCCTATTCTTTAGATCGGCTTAGCTCTCCTGAGGTTCTGTGAGTTCCATACTGTTAGTGATAATCACATCGCTAACAATCCAGTGACCAGCGTTCGGAATGAGTAAGTCTCACCGTATTTCACAGGCATCAGCCCACTCATAAACTGCGGCAGCCACTTCTTCCTTACTGTTCGTTTCGCTCGTTATTCTCCTTTTCTGATGTTGTCTCGCTCAATCCCGCTCTTAGGTACACAATCCCGATATGGAATAAATTCCACACGGAGAAATTACCGTTGGTGCGTGTAGTGCACCATGAGTAGGCTAGGCTGGAGAGGACTTACGATCGTGCAGACGACGTTGGCTGGAGGCCTGTCCAGCGCCGCCGCTGTCGATCTCATTGTGGCTACTTCCTTGATTATATTCTTGGACCACGGTCGGACGGGTGTCGAGCGGTAGGGTAACTGCAGCCATATGAGCTCAGATACTGAAGTCTCCCCTCAGGTCCGACAGTCGCATCAATTTGCTTATGGTGTATACAATCAACACCGGTCTAATCACATCGTTAGTATCTGTCTTGTCGGATTGTCGATTAACTGACGTCGTTCCAGTATCGTGTCGGTGGCAATCCTGATAACCGTTAGTAAAAAACCTGCTGGAGAGATCATGGCTGGGAGGTGCTGAAATTTCATCTCAGTATGCAGCTTTCCGATCCAAGCTCGTATTTATGGGCCTGGTAGAGATTCAGAGTAAACGTGCGTGACTCTGCCGAATCGCGCGTGATGCGTAGCTTACTCTCAACCAGTCTACGCCAACTCACTCCTTGCAAGGTTTGCTCATTTTGACATCGGTTAGACCGGCTTGCTGAGGTTTCGAAAGTCTGAACGCTAGGTCGCACATCATGAAGCACGGGAAGGTGACTGATTTCACCACAGGCCTCGAGACAGGACCGGCCATACATGACTTGCAAAATTGGAGAGCCCCTCCAGGAGCTGCTGTGAGTTTGTACTCTTCTTACTACATCCTTTTCAGTCTGACGCCTTTCATCAGACTCAGATATCGGTGTTTCAGGAGACGGTGCAGACCGTGGACGAGCTGGTAAGCGTGGATATATTAGAGGCGGCTTGCCGAGCCTGACGGTGCTCTTCTAGCCAATAGACCATATGGACAAAAAGCGCAGGAGGTCTCTGATGAATGATCCATAAGCTGGGTCTGAAGAACTGAAGCACTTATTGCATTTTTCGACACGGTGATGCAGGCCCTAGGAGATGCTTCGTATTCCTGTACTTCACGTGATTTGCGTATAAATACAATTGAAGGATCAATGTACGGTATATGTATGCGTATGTAGCTGGGAATGCCTGTAGATCGCTACGAGTACCTGAGATCGTCATAGACCTGGTTTAAATCACCGCTAAGTATGTCTAGACCATGATCTGCCCGCCGGCAGGCCTCAGGCACATACCACCTCGTCCCCACCCCCTAAGATCGAATCTCTACGATCGCGTTCTCGCTAGCCCTACCGTGTGTCCTCTCGTAAGCCAAACACCACCATATCTCTGAATCTCGGTACCAGTAGCATTATAGATTGCCAACGATCCAAAGCCAGAGGGGCGACTGGATAACTTAGTGCAAAAGGTACATCTCTACCAGGTACAACGTCGCAAAATTTACACATGGGTCATAGAATACAGTACTGGAAGGCTCCCAAAGTCAGGCCACTCAATTCAAGCAATTATACAAGCGAGTTGTTTTTCGACGGCTTGCTGAAATCGTCCATAGGCTAGTTGGAGGACCGTGAATAATGGCGTTTTGTCACGGTACGTGGCTCTTACCATCTCGTCGACAGCATGATGTGTCTCTTGCAGGATTGATATTTGCGCCTGATGGTGACAGCCACGTCATTATCGCGCACATACTTGCAACTGAGGAAACGTCTTACCGGCACCTGGGCATGGTGCACTCGGGCAGAGTGCGAACGGCCGGACGAGTATTCAGAATGCGAGCGGTTCCCTCTGTTCAGGATATGTGTCCGCGCGTTCAGGCTGCGCGACATCGTGTGTCAGCACATGCGGGATGATCAAAGTAAAATGCGGACCTTGCCAGGAATGAGTTGGCGTAGACTGCGGGAGCGGCTGCTGTCAACCATGCAGAACATCATCGAGACCCATCTACTCACGCTTGCTCTGGATTTCCACCAGTCCCAGGAATATTAACGTCGACGGTAGGGACGCGTACTGTACGCCCATTAAGCATCGCGAGCCCAGTGATCAGCAGGGCTGTAACCTACCGTGACAACAATGACGACAGAGACGATCCTGTACCAAACCAGATTCGTTAACCTACACGAATAAGATCACAACACTCCACTGACGATGTAATAAGCCCCGTGTTGATAGTATATATCATCAATAGATTTATACGGCTATCAGATCTATACCCCGTATTAGTAAGCGTCTCGAGCCACACCACCCGAATTTTCTGTATCAAATAACAGCGCACCTATCGAACCCCGTCCGACTATGTTCGAGGAACCAAATTAGCGAAAAGGCGACGATGAGGTCGACAGCAGCCGCGCTTGACAGGCCGCCCGCAAGCGTGATCTAGTGATCCGTGCACGCCAGTCAGTCGGCCAGTCAGCGTATCCGATATCACGGGGAAATAGCTGACCAGAGGGAGGCGGCGCTCGCGGAAGGTCGTCCATTGCCCGATACTATAACTACAGAGGGATCGCGTGAGTAAGCAAGCGCCGACTGGGAAGTGAAATTGGATTTACCATAAGGACGTCGTTGCTTAGTGGTCGGACGACAGGATTAGTTTGGGTATTCCCGCGTCGAGGAAGTGTACGAGAAAAGACGTACTCAGGCCAAACGCTGCCAATGCCAAGAAATCAGCCTGAGTCACCTTGTGCGCAGTTCCGGCACTCACAGAATCGTAACAAGGCGACCAGAGCCTTTCCGCAGGATAGTAAGCACAACGGCTGAATGGAACTTCAGCTGAACTTACGAGGAAGAGCGTGAGCGGTATGTTGTGGTTGCTCACTGTCTGGAGTCAGCGCTGCCATAGAAGCCATACGATAGGGGGCTCACATATCCATACGCGTCGGATGTAGTACGCATGGACGACCCCGGCGACTAGGACCTAGAGACGCGGTGAGCTCCTTTACGGACAACGCATTAGCGGAAAGAACGCACGCCGAGTACTACTGTGATCTGGAAGAGTTTAGTCAGTTAGCACAGGCGGAAACGCACGAGCATTGCACGACGTACTCCTCCACTCCTGTAGGGTAAGACAGAGGAGATGAGCTATGAAAGACAGAGAGCCAAGGCATTCGCAAACCCACCAGTAGATATCATTGAGGGCTTCAGTGTTCCCAAAGTTCGTAATAACGTAATTGTATATGAAGTCGATGCAGAACGCCGTGTGTAGCGTCTCGAATAACCTAAGTGAATGAAACGGGTGAGGGTCTGCCTCTGGTACGGATAACTACTCATACCAGACTATGGCTACCTGTTACCACAGTCAATTCTGAACTGGTACATAGCAAAATGGAATGTCGCATACCACAGCTTTCAGGGCTGGTCTGTCCTTCGGATAGTTCTGGTAGTACAAGAACGTCTGAGTCGTCGTCACGCCGTACAAACTAACTGCACTCAGTCCCCCTCGCCTCCTTCATGCGCAATAATACGACACTTACATCGCGGCCATAAAGATGCTCACCAGCATCGTCCCGGCAATATCGGTTACGACAGTCATAGCCATGGCGGGGTAGTGAGAAGAGGGGACTAGCTATCGGCCTCGAAATTTCTCGGGGCTCAGCCTCATATGCAGCCGAGCAGAGCTATTCCTGTGCGCCGGGGTTCTCGAAGACTGACGAATCAGGCGAGACGCCAATCGGTTCTGGGGAGGGCGAGTACGACCAACATGATCATCATCAACCGCGGCGGTCATCAGAAATCATCAGTCTCGAGAATGGGAATGCATTCTCCATTATATACGCTCACCGTGCCGTCGGATGCCTTGAGATGGGTGTTGTGGACAACAGCGCAATAGCCGCCGACAGGAGCCGTCTGTACGCCCGTGCACTATATACTCGGGACTACCCGAGAAGGCTGCAAGAGGACTGCCACCGGAAGCGCACCGGTGATGTAGTACCTGCATATGCGCAATCGTAGAACATCAGGTTCAGAATGGAACTGCAGGGTGATGGCTCTCACGGCTGCGGGACTGGCTCCGTAGGAACCGGCGTAAGTATATGAAGCTCCCAGATGGCCTCAAAGACTTTTACGGGGAAACCAAAGGCGGGGAGGAAGGTTTGTGCAGCCCTTTGGAAGAGCGATAAAGGTGAGGTGATATACGTGCGGAGATGTGGGCGCACGTAATCTATCAGAGACGCTCGGGGTTACGTATTTTGTATCTTGGTGGCGTTCTTCGCCTAGATCAAGAGAGATCCCACGAGCTAGTCCGAGACATCGATGATGTCTGATGCTTGGCCTTGTTCATATTCACTAGATCTTGGTAAAGGATGACTGACCGGAATATAACCTCGAGCTTGTAACCGCGTGGCGGCGATAGACGCCAGTATTGAGTGTATAGACTGTGCACGTCCCGAAGAGGACGCAGAAGGCCGCGGTGTCCGGTAGGACGCCCCATCTGCCGCTTTTCTTGCCGCTCCGAAAGGTAGACTCTCTCCAGTTACCAATACCCCTCCTCCGATGGAAACGATTTCTCTGAAACCATGTTAATAGCGGTCGTAGGAAACTGGTATGCATTGTATGGAACGTGCCCTCGTGGCACCCGTGCCCGTGCTTGATCTTTGTCGATGCCTGCTCCGTGGATCCGATTTACAATATATGATAAGGGTCCGCTGCTGTGCAACGGAGCGTGGGTATAGGTTATTCTCATATGATCGACAGGGGAGATGAGTCGGCTGGGAATGCCATTGGATTTACCATGACTGATTGGAGACCCCGGTGTTGTTCGCCTCCAGACAACATACGGCAGTTTCAGTTGTTTATAGACGTACGGGTTGCCTCCAGATAGATTGGGAAGAGGCCAAAGAGCAGACAGCATGATATCGATGTCGATGCCGCTGGCCGAGGAAGGGAACACATGCAATCTTCAAACGCGTGAGACAACGAAACACGGAAGCAAATTGGCTCAATTGGCCTCCTAAAAATATTAATGACTCAGTAGACGAGCAACTGTCTTTAATGGTCCAGGAACCGGTCCATCATAAGCCTTCAGTTGTTACGCTCGGGCCTTGCACTTCCTACACAATATCCTTGACTTGATTACATAGTTTGATTGAACACAGAACAGTCTAGCTACAGTATAGTTTACACAGCATGTGCGACCAACAATTGGCAACAAGTTTCTACCCGTTAACTACAGGGCGGACCACTTACAGGGTCAAAATGCACAAAAGTAACTTTGACGCCGCAGGTCCACTGACTCGCTACCAATTCCATCTGCCAACGTTACGACCGGGCTTTATCCAACTCAGGAGTCTGTGCTATCCAGGTCTTCATGAACGACAGGCATAACAATGAGTCTGACGCCAGGACGTTTGATTCGCCATTCTCATGGTTCGAGCTCCGAACTCTCAAGACATCATCAGGAGAGCTCTGCGGATACATCTGTACATGCAGTGGCAAATGCATTTTAGAATCCGGAATAGGAGCGGCGATTTTGAGGTTACCTGAGGTACCTCGGCGTTGAAGCTTTGAAGCCGCATAAAGATGCACCGCGGTTGGTGGCTTCATTCGGTTTATCTTCTGATTCCTTACTGGTATCCTGGAAAGTCCGAAGCTGGACAATTGCTTGTTGTGTGGATCAGTGTCTAATTCAGTACCCAGGAATGCTGGTGAATTCTCTTCTATTTGTTCCGGCCGCACTCGGACAGCTGCAGGCTGATGATCAGGACGCTCGGGTTGCTTTGAAGATGCCCGACCCCGCTACACAACGATATCTAGGACACCTGAACTTTATAGCTTGACTGGACGCGCAGTTTGTCTGAAGTGGTCTACACACACGTCGCTATTCCAGGACAATCAAACCGAGGACGAACATTCGCATGATGGACGGCCGACCAGTCCCCCCGCTTGACGGCTCCATTAATGTCTACCCCGGCTTCACCGACTTTCACCATACACACAACCCGAACCGCATATGCGCGCAGTTCGCGGCGGACGGTTCGGGAGAGATCGTGCGCATCTCTTTTGAGGAGTTTGCGCGTGCGACCCACCGAGTTGCCAGAGCACTACGCGCGGACGGACGCATGCGCAATGGCGAGGTCGTTGCACTCATCGCGCTGTGCGATACGGTGATGTACATGGCGTTGCTCGTGGGTATGGTCAGAGCCGGGTTGGTTGTGAGTGCCTGCGAATGCTAGTGTTTGGGATGCGGCAGTAATGATAATATTCTGCATGAAGCCATTCCCGATCTCCCCGCGCAATTCAGCGCCGGCGATACACAACATGCTCTCGAAGACAGGGTGCCACCGCCTGCTCACCACCAAGGCGTTCCTCAAGCCGCTGCTTGAAAGCTGCCAGGCAGAATTTGCCGGGAAGGGATGTGAGCTGGAGATCGACGAGATCCCCGCCTTCATGGATGTCTACCCGTTACTGGGAAAAGAGACCGCCAACGATCCATTCGAGCCCTTCGTGCTGGAGGACTGGAATCCTGCCATGGACGATGTTACACTGTATCTGCACTCGTCCGGCTCGACCGGGTTCCCGAAGCCCATCCCGCAGACACACCGCACCGTGCTGCACTGGTGCTCGCTGCGTGCGTCCTCCCTTCCTACACCTCTAACTACTCCCTGCTAACTGCCATTGCAGCATGCTCGACCGAGGGCCGGTACCACCCGCGCGAGCTTGTGTGGGGCGCGATGATGGCGCCGACGTTCCACACGTTCGGGCTGTACATGCAGGTGTACAACAATCTCGTGACGGGGTTCTCGACCGCGGTGTTCCCGCCAAAGTACCCTGCGCCGCCGGTGATCCCGACGCCCGAGAACACGCTCGCGGCGCTCAAGGCAACGGGGTCGAACACGGCGATCGCGGTGCCCTCGTTCTTCGAGGTAGGATAGGAGGGATGAGAGGTTTGGTGCGATGGGCTCATGCATGTTTCGCAGGCGTGGGCGCACTCGGCCGAGGCGATCGACTTCCTCGCCACCATGGAGATCTGCGTCAGTGCGCCCTCACCCGCGAGACTGACCCTGACCCTGACGCACCTGAAACCCAGACATTCGCCGGCGGGCCACTCTCCGCCAAAGCAGGGAACGCCCTCGTCGCGCGCGGCGTGAAGCTGAACACGACGTACGGCGGCACCGAGTTCGGCGCGCCGTCGCACCTGTTCGACATCATCCCCGAGAACAAGGCGCCGGGACTGACGTACAAGGAGCTGAAGGACTGGTCGTGGATACGCCTGTCGCCGAGGTTCAAGCTGCGGTGGGTCGACCAGGGGGATGGGACGTACGAGCTGCATATGCTGGTGAGTGTAACGTGACGTTGATGCGCTAGGTAGGTAGTGAGTTACGTCGGATGGGATGTGTGTAGACGAACGAGAACCATCAGCTTTCGGTGGAGAATTTGCCGGATACCAAGGGGTATGCGACGTCGGACCTCTGGGAGAAGCATCCGACAATCGAGGGGCTTTGGCGTTTGTAGGTTGATGAAATATTCGGCGTCACTCTTCTGCTAACTCCGAACTGTCGTCAGAGTGGGCCGTACCGACGACGTGCTCGTACTCGCTTCAGGTAAGACGCATTGCCATCATTCTCAGTGGATACTTATTAACTTGATGCGTTCAGGCGAGAAGACCGTTCCCTCGCCGATGGAAGGACATATCCTGCACAATCCCTTGGTGCAGGGGACGCTCATGTTCGGCCGGGGACGCGACCAAGTCGGCATCCTCATCGAGCCGCACCCTGCACAGGCGATTGACCCGAAAGACGAGAAAGCCGTTATCGAGTTCAGGAATAAAATCTGGTAGGTGCCCAGAATGAACGTAGAATACGAATCTGATCGATGTCGCGTGATGTGGGTAGGCCCACCGTGGAGGAGGCGAACAAAGAGGCACCGGCCTTCAGTCGTATATTCAAGGAGATGATACTGGTGACGGACCCCGCCAGGCCAATGGCGCGCGCGGCGAAGGGGACTGTCATGCGCAAACTGACGCTTGGGTTGTACGCCGACGAGATTGACGCGCTGTTAGTATGGCTGGTTTGCGTTGAAGCGATTGCGCGGAAGCTGATACGACCTACATGGGCAGGTACAACACCGTCGAATCGAGCATGAACACGAAAGGCGTCGATCCACCGCCCGCTTGGACACCGCTGGCGCTCGTTCAATGGCTATCGACACAAGCGGAGCAGATCAATGGCGGGCGGAAAATCGACGCCCAGGACGATCTGTTCGACAAGGGGTTTGACAGGTAACAATCCAAATGTCTAACTGTGATCTCAAACGCGTTCTTCGCTGACGTCGACCGTGCCAGTTTGAGCGCCACGTTCCTGCGTAACAGGATCATTGGCGCGCTGCGCAAGTCGGCGGAGCCTGGTGCGAAGCAGGCACTGGCGGGGGTCACGCAGAACATTGTTTACACGACTCCGACGATTGTGCAACTCGCGGGCGCGGTCGCGGCACTGCTGAGGCCGGAGAGTGTCAATGGAAAGGCGTCGCCCACGGATGCGATAGAGACGATGGTGGAGAAGTACTCGGCTCAGTTCCCGAAACCCGTCAGCCCGGAATCACCGCCAGGGGACGGTGCCGTGGTGCTCCTGACAGGCTCGACGGGCAGCTTGGGCTCGTATATCTTGGCTGCGCTGCTGGGTGACGACAGGGTGAAGAGGGTGTATGCATTCAATAGACTCTCGGCGACGAGCCCGACTGTCGACAGGCAGAAGGCCGCTTTTGTGAATAGAGGCCTGTCAGGAGATTTGTTAACGTCAAGCAAGGTGGTCTTTGTTGACGGTGACGCGAGTGTCCCGGACCTTGGTCTGGCGAATGACATGCGTACGCATGACGCGGTGCGTTTGGATGTTCATGACTGCATGCATAGGGATGCTGACGATTTATACGTTCCCGTCAGATACGAGATTCCGTCACGCACGTCATACATAACGCATGGAGGGTCGACTTCAATCTCGCCTTGCCGTCCTTCGATCCGAACATCCGCGCAACTAGGGGCCTCATCGACTTTGCTCTGACGTCTAAGCACGGGGCGCAGGTAAAATTCGTGTTCACGTCGTCGATTACGGTGGCGCAGGCTTGGGACGCGGCAAAGGGGCCATTCCCGGAAGAGATTATACCGAAGCCTGACGCTGCCATCGGGGGCGGGTACGGCGAGGGGAAGTACGTCGTAGAAAGAGTGCGTCGTAAGATGAAATTATTGTGGTGCGTGTGCTAATGCGAGAGGGTTTGTAGGTCCTCGCTGCGGCTGCTGAGGAGACTGGCCTGCGGAGCACGTCTCTGCGCATCGGACAAATATGCGGCGGGGAACCAGACGGCGCGTGGGCGACGACGGACTGGGTGCCTATACTAGTCAAGTCGAGCTTAGCGCTCAGCTGCCTGCCTGACTCTCAGGGTGTGAGTGCTCTTCTCGTATCACCCGCGGCTTCGAGTCTGACACTCCGTATAAGACTGTCTCGTGGCTGCCTATGCAAGCGGTAGCAAGGACCGTTCTGGACGTGGGTCTCGCTGCGGGGGAGCCGCCGCTGGCTGTTAACGTCGTCCACCCGAGGCCGGTGAAGTGGACGGATATTATGGAGGTTATCAGGAAAGCCTTGGGTCACTCCTCTAAGTCGCTAGCCCTTGTATCGTTTAGCGAGTGGGTTACCCGCTTGGAAAAACGAGCGGCCAAGGCTGAGACGGATGACCATGAACATGTGGTAAGTAAAGACGTGTCAGACGTCGGATGTGTTTCTGACAATGTCGTGCAAACAGCCCGCCGTCAGGTTATTGGAGTTCTTTCGCAAGCTTGCGGCTGCTGACGCTGCGAAGGCGAGGTTGAAAGGTGGTGAGGCGGGAGGAATCACTACATTCTCGACTAAGAACGCGCAGGCTCTGAGCCCGACTCTGGGGCAATTGGCATGTTTGAATGAGCGAGACGCTGAAAGGTGGGTGGGGTACTGGAAGTCGAAGGCGTTCATATAAATGCAGAACGTGTGGTTTTCCTGGTATACGATATGTGTCTCATCTGCTGTCGGCACATTCTTTGTGTCCATTGTGGCTGAAACCGTTCAGGTGCGGGAGAATCCCAAAGACTTCGAAGGCGCGGTAGAACGCCGGTATCCACGTACAGGGTAGTAAAGGAGACTAATGGGTGACTCGAGCCTATACAGTAAACCTACTTGAGCTCCCTGAGGTCTTGTAAGACTAGTTTTAAAGACAACGTCCCAATGAGCTGTACCATGTAAGATTCTACTTAGTTATTACATATGGCTACAGTGGAAATCTATCAGTAGAGTCTTCCACCTGCACCGCTAGGGATGTGTCATTGAGAAGGAGCTAATTGCCCGGCAAGGCGTCCATTTGTCTCCAGTACCTGACCCATGCAGCAATCTCGTCTTCTTGTATTTCGGGCAGGTCAGGATCACGTAAGGTCGGGGAAGCTTCGATTGCTTTACCGATTGAAAGCGCAGGAAATAGTCCATTGCTCTCGGTCATGGGCTGCGCAGGGTGATCGTCAGAACGCGGGGAGCGGTATACGTCCATAAGGCGCATCGCGGGAGCCAAATACGGGGAGATCTGGCGAATACCTTGGGCTTTCAACTCGTGTTCAAGACGTGCGAGCCACTCCGCGTAGGGGACCACCGGAACGTCTATGATCCTGGCCAGCGAGTTCGCCATGACTCGCCATAGGATAGGCTTGGGATGACGAAGGTGTAAAACCGCATCCCTACAGGTAAGGAAGTCCACCATTGCGGCGGCAGCCATATCAACCGGAATCCACGATATAGACTGTGAATAGTGTCAGCCATGCAAGATCATAGACATGGAATAGTTACGCACGTCACGACCATCTGGGAAACAACCCAGAGCCACACTGGCCGATACCAGGGCAGGGAACCACTCAGACGGCTTCCATGAACCGTTCAACCCACCAGCAAGTTGATGAATACGTATGGTCGTGGCGCTGAAGCCCGGTATTTTCGACATTGCGACGTCCAGTAATCTCTCCGAGACCCACTTCGACTTCGAATATCCGGGGCCGACTGAGACCCTAGGGTCAGGCAGAGATGACTCCATAATGGGAGTAGAGATTTCAGATAAGTACTCCAATTCTATGATGGGAATCAGTTTCGAACGAGACCTTGTCACCGTATTCGTACTTACGACGAAAGATCCCTACGGAGCTGGCGTAAACTAGTCGTGCCTGTCTTCCCTTACGTGCCGTCGCCGCGAAATCTATCAGTGCGCGGAGACCATGGACGTCCGGCTCGAATGCCTTCAAAGGAGCTACGAGGTTGATATTCCAGCCTAGAGTAATATGAACGATGTACTTCCGACATGCGTCACGAAATATGCTTACCGAGATGAACTACGTGGGTTGCTGTACTATGGATCTGCGCAAAATATTAATGGACTCGACTCCAATCCAATTTGTAGAGGACAGCCACATACCCGCTCATAGGCATCCTTGGCAATTCCGAGGTGGGGCTGCGTCAGGACTACTTCGATCAGCTCCAGCTTGTCGGACTCCACTATGGAGGGATCAATGCCGCGCATGGCTAACGCAATTCGTTGACGATCCACTGGAGACTCTGTGGCATCCGAATTCCGGAGCAGCGAGTATACCTTGCTGACGTTCGATGATAGCAGCAAGCGGGCAAGCATGTGGGTACCGAGGCTGCCACGAGTACCGGTGATGACGATGACCCATCCAGTACTAGCAGGAGCTTCATCTGACTCCGGTTGAACGCTGTGGAAGTCGGAGCCAAACTGTTCAACCATATGCAGCATTTCGTCAATCTCTCCGAACTCTGTAGCTTCTGTCTGCGTAGAAACAAAGCTGCTGGATTTAGCTTCCTCAGCGGCGGCCTCTAGCTGCTGGAATGTGACGTCAGCCAAGAGCTGGATCTGTGAAATGGCAACTAAGGATGCCAGTGCGGTCGATAAGGACGTTGCGGAGAGAGAATCAAGCCCGTATGCAGTAAGGGGTACATCCGGCACCAGGTCGTTTGGCGCAACCTCAAGGATTTTGCAGATGATGTCCTTCAAATCGGAGGTTCCCTGAGATTCTCGCGCCGTTGCAATATTGGATTCGGGGAGCAGATGTTTGAAGACGGCTGACACGCCCATGTTTGCAGCGACGCGGGGCCAGTCAAAGTTGGGCACATACTGCCAGACGGTGCCATCGCGAAGTTTCCTGATGCCGTCCCCCAGATATGTACATAATTCTAGCCTGGGGGTCAGTGGTTCTGAGAGGGATATGGACGGTGTTAGTACTCACCTGACGCTGACATACCCCAATCCGTGAGATGTCGCAGACGACGGCGGTATACACTATCAGCATCTCCTTTCAAAGCGATCGCGCTGTCGATAATAGCTGGGCAGACCATACAGAAAGCATTCTTGTACTTTTTTGTGAGCCCGGCCAGCGCAGTGTTCGCACTACCGCAAAATTAGAAAGGATCGGGAACCATAATTCGAGTAAAGTGCTTGCCTGGCGTAGTTCGTTTGGCCGGCATTGCCAAACATAGCCGATACAGACGAGACAGTGACGAAGAAGTCGAGGGAATCTACATCCACTGCCTGCTCTAGAACCTGAAAGGCTCCCACTTTGGGCGGAAATGGGGCCTCGAAGGTTTCGGCAGTCTGCGCATGGAACGTGCGGTCGATTAATGCAGCAGAGAGAATCATGCATCCACCGAGAGGTTTATCAATCGCACTGACTACACGCCGTATATCCTTCAGCGATACGGCATCTGCAGCGACAGCATGAAGCTTGAGGTCCAGGAGGCCATCCAGATGTTTCATAATTCGTTTCGAGAGTGCCGAGCCCCTTTTCAAGATACTGGCGCGTCCTCCTCGGGATGTCATGACAATGCTCCGCGCCCCTTGCTAGAGATATGTTTGAGTACGTCTTGCGTTACGACGAACGTGGAAACCTTACGGAATACATCCATAGAGCGATCTCCAACCCCAGACTACCAATCCCGCCGATAAGAAGGTAGGTCTTGTCCTGGCTCAGGATAGCGATATCTAATGGAACTTCCTTGGGCAGGGCTCCTCGAATCATCTTCACCGGTGCCTTAAAAGAGGTCTTCGCATGCGGATACTTTGCCAGCGCAAGCTTTATTGCATCACCAACCGCCCACGGATCACTTGAGAGGGCACCAGGAACACCACGCTTGGCATCCGACCATAAGAAGACTTTTCCTTTCGGCGACACATGATCGTCGAAGACCTGGATATCAGAGGCGTCCTCACACCCGGAGAGAATAAATGTAGGTCGGCGAACCGCTATAGTTTTGAGGTCTGAAACCGTGGGTCTACCTGAGCATGAAAGAACTTCGAGCCCAAGTGTCTCGTAAATCGCGGCAATACTGCGGCCGACCGCTGTCTCAGCGTGCGTCACAAAGGCTGAAGTATCTCTGATTCGGTCCGGATGCGCGAAGTTGCTGTACCCCACACCCAGAACTGCTGCAGCTAGTGCAAAAGCTGGCACGTTATTAGCCCCCGAGAAAGCTTTCACGTCGACTATGCTGCCCAAGTGTACCACAGCAACATTCGATATCGGGCCAACCGCTATTCCGACGACCTCCCGAGACTCTCCTGCAGTCGTTCCGAGGAAGGAGTAAAGAGCTTTGCTTACTTGAGAGACGCCCGTAATGTCGATCTGGATATGGTCGGGAGGTACCCTGGGAGTAGACACCTGCCTAACAAGAACACCATCATAGACCCATGGTGACTCAGGATGGAAGGGAGCACTCGCAGCCGGGGGCACAGAAGGCATGATCCTTGGAACGGTAACAGTGCCGTCCTCTTGAACATAGATCTCGTCTTCGCACTCTGAGCTCAGAAGATGCTTCATCGCGGTCGCCTTGTCCTCCTCGCTCCATGAAGCGGGAAAGACCGCTGCACGTACACTCCAAGCACCATATTCTTTGCGAAGAGACCTCGAGAACCCGAGCAATGCGTCGCCGTCCAGTCCCGCTGAGGCTCGCAACCACAGCCTGACAGGCGCCAGAGTATCCATTTTCGACAGGAGTTCCTGTATGTGCATCTCGACTCCTCTTCCGTAATCGATGATGACCGTATTCTCGTGCTGGCGGGAGCAAATGCTTATGCCACCGTCTATTCGGGGCTTGGCGTCACCATTTGCATTCCCGTTACCATTGACCGTAGCACCCTCGACTTCAGGCGTATGATCGTTCTCTTTGATGCCGTTGACGCGTGGGCCATGACCATTAGCGATCTGGCGCGGGAGGACCAGGCCCATGTGTACATCAACGACTTCGAACCGTCTTTCAACGGTCTCCGGAATGTAGCCATGTCGGGCTACTTCGAAAGATTCGAACGTGCAGAGGGGAACGCCGTCCTTACGTACTATCGTGAAGTTATATATGATGGCTTCTAGGGGCCCGTTAGAACGGTATGGTTGACGAGGAAAAATGGTTTACTGACCGGGAGACCAGGCTGACATTGTACCATGCGCAAAAACGACTTTGGGGAATGGCTTCTTGAATAGCGCATCGTGAACGGTAAATGCGCCCACCTTCGCCGGAAGATAATACCGAGCACTATCCCAGCAACAAGTAAGAATGGGGTGCACCATAACATGCAGCGCCCCGTCTAAGATAGCCGGGTGAAGGTGGTAGCCGTCGAGGCTGTCGGGGAGGTCAGCTACATAATTCTCCCGCATTGACACGCTACTTACTCAGGGATGTCTCCATCATTACCACGCACTTCAACGAGCACTTCTTCACGTCCTTGGGTGTCCACACCCCTATAGCAGGCGGTGACTCTTTGATACATTGGTCCATACTGGGCGAAACTAGCGAAGCCATCGTAGAAATCTAAAAGGACGAGGTGAGCGAAGGCCGGCAGGAGCGATACCATACCAGATCGATACTCACTTTTCATATCAATAGCGTTTAGGCGCGCCAAGACGTGCTCCAAGTCGATTGGGGTTGGGCTGAGAGCAGGAGTCTCCATGGATAGATAGCCTTTTGCATGGAGACGATCATACTGAAACACGCCGTAAGGAACTTTTCAATCTAATTATCAGATGCATGTTACCTGTAAGGGCCACTTCCTTGCCACGTCTGCGGGAACCGCACTCTTGACAGTCCATTTAAGACCATCTAACTTGACTTGGACGGGCGTGGGCTTCTCAAACGAGAGAGCAATGATTGAGATGAATTCGACGTTCCATAGTTTTCTCGCACCGAATTCAAGAGCCTGCATCGCTCCACGTCAGTCACAAGCAAACAAACGTGTGGCTTAAAGATGCACCATCTCAAGGTAGCCAGCGGCAGGCATGATAGGCTCGCCTTTGATGACATGCTCGGCCAAAGCAGGGTGGGTATTCACGTTCACCTGCAGTTGCGGGTAATTGAGGGGACCGTTGCGATTCTGTCGCTGTCTTGTGATTTCAGGTGTCGCCGCAACGTACGGCACATCTCTGCGAGCAAACGGATATGGGAGCGGCGTCACCTGACCCTCTTGGTCGCAGGCAGACAGGACGTTGAAGTCGACCGAATGATAGCCTGAAACAACGAGCTTGCCGACAAATTCTACAAGCCCCTGAAGCTCTACGGCTGGCTGGCCCTTCTTCGGCCTGCGCAGAGGACAGAGGACTGGAGAATCTTTCCCGACCATAGACGATACATACCCGCTTAGTACAGGATGAGGGCCAAGTTCCACAAAGATGGCGGTCGAATACTTGAATTGTAATGCTTTCACTGCCTCCGCGAAACGTACAGAACCCCGTGTGTTATCCCAGAAATATTGAGCGTCGAAGATTTTGGTGAATGCCTCGCCACTTTCTGCCGAGTAGACGTCGATGGAGGGTGCTTGGACTGTGTACCGCGCGAAGACATCTTGAACCAGACGCTGATATTCGCTCTGACAGAGATCCATCATAGCAGAGTGCACCGGGATCTTCGTTCGAAGACGTCGGGCGAAGAAACCTCTCCCTTCCGCAACTTGCACTGCAAGATTTATGTGCGACGCCTTCCCGGACAAAGTGACGGCTTCAGGCGTGTTGTAACAACCGATCTCGAGCGGACCGAAACCTGCCTCTGCGATCACAGTAGCGATGATATCCCGCACCTGATCCACAGAACAGTTGACGGCAGCCATGGCACCGTCCGCATCCTCCAAAGCTGACATCGCCCTCCCTCTGGCGATGGCCAACTCGAGAGCTAACGCTTTACTCCCTGCACCGGAAGCATAGATCATAGCTGTCTCGCCTGCTGAATGACCGATGACTGCGTCCGGCTTGATGGCAAGGCTTACCAGCGTGTCGAAGAGGGCTATCTGCACCATGGCTAACGCAGGAAGAGTGATCGCAATGGGCCAGACTTCTCCGAGAACGTCCTCGTGTGGGTCCTCTGAGAATAATCCCGTACTCTTGATGAGGGACTGTCCGACAGCCTGCTCGTAGACCTGATCCAACTCCATAATTGTCGAGTGGAATACGGCGTTGGTCTTGTACAATTCACGGCCCACTGAGTAGCAGTCAGATAGTAGCAACGGGACAATATAGGTAAATCACGCACTATCAAAATATTGAGGTCCTTGGCCAGAATAGACGAATACAAGAGGGACTGAAGAGCGATGGGACAGGACGGGTTCTTGGAATTGCGACACCTTGCCACCCTTTGCGATTGCGAATGACCGCCAAGGCATTGACCGAGCCCGGCGGCTGTAAAGCCGAGATATCTGATGACGATCATCGTCGGTGTAGGCGTCTCGAAGACTATCGCCGATAGCTTTCGCTGAACGTGGAGAAAGGCCTCCTGCGATCAAGACAGCGGGGATGAGACTCATCTCGACACGCCAGAACGTTTTTTCCCTCTTATCCAGGGCCGGAGGGCCCTCAACCACGCAGTGGCCGTTGGCACCTCCGATGCCAGAGCTTGTCATTGCTATAAGTGAGCGTCCTGAAGAGGAGCGGCACTTCAATGGCTCGGGCTCAGTGGGCACGCGAAGACGATACTCATTCCACTTGATGCCCTCGTTCGGGTTCTTAAAATTCACATTCGGGGGGATCATACCAGTATTGAAGATGCAGCATACTTTTGCCAGAGAACCCAGAAAGGCGGTTATTTCGAGGTGTCTGCATCAGATGCGTGAGTAGGTAGCCTCGCATAGATTTCGACACAACATACCCTATGTTTCCCTTTACACTTCCCACAAGCAATTCATCATCTCTTGAACATTCTGCCCCAATCCAGTTCGCCTCAGTAGGGTCACCCTTCTTGGTTCCTATTGTATCGCGTGTGAGTGGATGCAAACTTCCGCGGAACTCGTACATGCCTGTAGCGTGTAGTTCGATGAAATCAACATCCTGAGGAGACCTGCGCGCCATTCGGAACGCTCTCCTCATAGCCTCTCTCTGAGATTCTGCGACTGGCGCATTCACAGGTGCCTGTGCACCGCAGGAATTCACTCCGGTTCCCAAAATCTAGCGTGAAAAGACGTCAAGGACTATTATGCATCAGTAGGCGCCGCAACTCACACTGCAGTATATCTTGTCACCATCTAATAAGGCTGCATGGAGTGGCTTCAGAACTATAGAAACGACTCCCTCGCTTCGACTGAATCTAAACCAAGAAAAGAAATTAGAGGATGTCATTGACTGCATACAAATGTCCACTAACCCATTTGCCGATGCGTCGAATGGCTTACACTTCCCATCGGGAGATAGCACGCCAGAAACTTGACTGTAAGTAAGCCATTCGGCAAACCTAATCGATGCCGTAGACGTGAGCATGACTGAAGTTTACCCAAAAGAAAGTCAAAAGACACCTATGGTTTATCTGAGAACCCCCCACGACTGCCGCTTCGCATTCACTATTCCGCAGTGCCTGGATGGCAAGATGCGTTGCATGAAGACTTGAGCTACACGCAGTATCGACAGGGATTGACGGTCCGCGCAAATCCAGATGGTAAGATACTTTGTTAGCCAGTGTCGATGGTGCGTAAGCCAGGGACGCCCGAGCATCGGCATCATTCTGTGGATTTAAGTCAAATCCATAGAAGTAAGCCTTAGAAAAGGCAGATGACTGACGTGACCGGAAACGGAGAACAAGTCATGGGCAACGCCAGACGTATAACAGCCAATATTCCTACCCCGATAATCGATACCCGAGTCGAGTAGACTCAAAAAGGTGCACTCTATCAGTTTGCGCGTGCTCACGGGCAAGAGCCGCGCATCTCTACCCGTTATCCCAAACTCCATATAATCAAATTGGCTCAGGTCCCTGAGGAACGAGCCGGTATCGGGAATGACATTCCCGAGTGCATCCCCTTGAATGCTGGGAAGTGGCGTCAGAATATTCGGACGGACATGGAAGTCCCAATGTGGCTCACTGTTCGATATTGAATCTTTCCTTCGGAATGTGCTCGTAAGATTCCGCCTTTTCAAATAAAAACCTAGAAAATGAAAGGAGATCGAGGTTCTCAGCACTCCAAGCACCACTCGGTAGCTCGACTGCTATGCCGACCTACAGTTACTTTGATCAGCAGTAGACAAGGAGAAAGAGCATTGTTGACCTACAACAGCGATAGGGAAACTTTCTAGAGTCTGCATTTCGCTAAGTCTGCGGGCTGCAAGGCTTTCTCCAGGTAGATATCTATGCGTCCAATATATAGGTGAAATAGCACGGGAAGAAAGTGACAACCACATTTATGATGCACCTTGCATGACCGCACGCAATCAGCCAGATGAATTGACAGCTAGAATGTGCCCTGAATGCAGGGGCGTGAACGTCTGATTCTGTTACAAGATGTTGTAAGCGAGAGAACTGGACCAGCATCAGTCCTAAACCTTACCGTCCACTCGCGGCGATAAGATATGTCCTCGATATGATTATCGTCATTCACAGTGGCCATCAGAAATCAGTCTCGAAAATCGAAATGTGTAATACATTGTACACTCACCGTGCTGTCAGTTCCTACATAGTCGACCTGGAATAGGTCTTATCGACAAAGGCAAATAGCGGCACCGTGCGTTGTGACTCGAACTCCCGGAGAGGATGCCAGGACTGCCACGCAGCGGTGATGCAATCTCACATGCGCAATGGTAGAACATCAGGTTCGGACACAAGTGTAGAGTGTCGGATCTGACGGCTGGGCTCTGCAGGAAACGGTGGATAGCACCCTAATGACCGTGAAGACCTCCGAAAGGGGGAAGGGACAGGGGGGAGTGACCATTCTATGGTGAGTGGTGAGTGCCACAATGATGGAAAGTACGTGACATGTCGGACGAGTGGATTTTGGTGGGTGGAGATGAAGATGCGTTCAGCCCATCCTGACACTGGCAGAGCCACACATTGGGGTAGGTCTAAGTCGGTTTGACTCCTGCTTGTATTGCAGAGAGTTTACAGCGCCATACTCCTGGAAATGAACATCATACAACATGATCACGAAGTGCCAGTGGCTGGCACGTATAACCCGTCACGGTCCAAACCGCCGCTCGAGATGACCGGACCACCGACATTAGGACAGTCTTCACTTCACTGCCTCACTCGGGTGCTCAACCAAGTTCAGCCGGGCCGTAGCCGGCACTTCAGAAATGTTCTGCCTGTCAGATACTGTGAAATGAATCATTCTCAGCGGCGTACCAGTGAGATGCCTTGGCCCCTCCACACCGATACCGTAGAAGCGCTTCAACTCAGAGATAGATTGGATAAGAAGCTGCGTACCATCGAGTCGCCCGACATCATCGGCTGCGGCGGCATCAGGAAAAGCCGGAATTGTCTGAGAGCCTAACGTCAGGCTCCGCGGGCCGTTCAGATGCATTAGGACACATTTTCCTCAGGGCCTGTTCGGTTGCGCGGGTAGGTTAGCACTTTGGGAGTTACACTCTTTTAGGCCTAGCAAAAGATTGTACGGTAGGGATATATGAAAGATTGGCTTTTGTATATGATTTTGAGGCTCACAAAAGATGATCTTTATTGAGAATTTCGAAGCTTGTAATATATATTTTCAGCAGTATTATCTTTGTCGATACATTATAATTAAATCTTTCAGATTCCCTTCTGACACTGGAGGATTTGTAATCTTTAGGGCCGGGCAGAAGGTTGTATGAAAGGGAAT